AGCAGGCTTCGACAGGGGGTCGGGCGAGCGTTATAACGATTTACTCGTATATTTTGCTACTTTCGCTATAAAATATAAATATGCAATAAAACAAAACGACGACAGGCCGAACATATGCATTACAGTCTACCCCCCTCGCTCCAACTGTCGGTCTGTGGAAATATTTGCTAGAAAACGAAGACATAAACTCAGAAATATGGCGCATTTGGCAAGACAAAAAACAAACGGCACTCGCTGGCAGCGTGGAACCGGGACCGAAGCCAAGACAAAAGCATTTCTAAATGGCAGTAGCAGCCAGCCAGCCAGCCCGCCAGCAGAAGACATGCCAACACATGACTTACTAAGGGGCTACAACGGGGCGTATACGTATCGCATTGTTGTGCTAAATTGCGCGCTCAGCTGGCGCACGAGTTGACTGCATTTCGCTACTTGCAACCCGGCAGGGGGAAGGCGGAGAATAGAGCGAAGCAAGGAGAAGCGCCCACTTTATGAAGCGCCCATATGTTGCAACAGTGGCAAAGGATTTCGAGGGCTGGGCAATGGTATTGGGCGCTGCGGGGCAATAAAAAATGAAAGGCTTGACAGGCACATTCCCTAGGCAAATCACTGCAGTTGCACATAAAGCAAATCGTTTGGCATTTGTTTTGATTTGCAATGATTGTTAAAAATATCTGCGACGACAGATGAGGATTGTAATAACAGATACCATGTGATGGCTTTGTGAGGGTCTTAAGATGTCACGACATTTCAAATACTGAACTCAAGTATTCCGCTTTCTCAACTCAGCTCAAAATTGTCAGAAGCAATCAATGGTTGGTAGAGTTCGAAACGAAATTATTATATGAAATAATTTGAATAGTTTAATGTATATATTACAATTCTTAATTATTAAGAATATATCAGTACACTTATCAAAATATATATGTCAACTTTTTTAAGTTCTGTCTTATCTTATTTGTAAAATGAAGTCTGTCTTGACAATATGATGATTATAACTATTATTAAACAGCTGCACTAAATATTTTTCAATATTTGCAATTATTTGGTATGACTTCCAATTATTTGTATTTATTATATAATATAAGCTATGCATAATTATAATTATAAATTTGTTATGCTCTGCCATCATAGGTATACGTAACTGTATTATAAATTGCATGCATTAAGTAGGATATATGAGTATCATATAATTCTATTACTCAACCCCAAGCAAAGCGCCACGCCTTAAAATGCCACTCAAATCAACTGGGAGCAGTGCACACTTTTTGGTCCCTCCCATATGCAGGTGACCTAACTGACCCTTTTAACCAGCTCTCAAGTTGAGAGTGAAAGTTCCTTATCATAATTTACAAGACAATTAGCCAGACGTTGGCCTCAGTCTCCAACTTTGTTACTGCTGCGCTTCTGGATGCGGCTGCTCTCGACCATATCGATGGGAAAAACTTTGTCTGTGCGATATTGTTGCGAGCGCTACTTAAAGTTTACAGGGGCCGCAAGTGCCAGACAATAATTAGCCAAATTTATTGTAATTAGGCGCACACGCACGGACCACATACCATATACCACATACCGAAACATGTGGCCCCCGGTCCGTATAATTATTATCATTACCTTCTGTGCGGACCTTCTAACGATTGTCGCATGTGTGCGTACGAGCTGAGAACGCATTTAATTGCACAAAGCAACATTCGCAGTTGCTTTGCTCTTAGCGACTTTTTAAATAATTCAGTTGGCCGTAAGTGCCGGGCTGCATCCATAAGCTGTCCATGAGAGCCTGTCGCCAGCATATGGCTAACAGCAGCGGCACACGGCAAAAACAAAGGGCATGGTTGAAAAGTTACAGGGTATGGAAGCTGTGGTTGCGGCTCATGCAGTCAAGTCACGTCACAGCATGTCGCTAATTTTTCTACTTTTCTACCATTTTTTTCGGTGCTGTGTCAAAAGTTGAGAGTCTCACTGCAATGCGTTGAAATACACTTTGTTAACTACCTACAACATGAAATACCCTACCTGAAGGTATTTTATTTTCCCTGTTAAGTGCAGTATACCAAACAATTATTTCAAAATTTTCAAATATCCTAATTTTGGTAAAAACCTCCGAAATATATTTATCTAATTTAGGAGCTTAGACGTTTACTTAGATCAAATATTGATACCTAATTTTAATATTTTGTTATGTCTCATTATTATCTTCATTCAATCAATTTTCCTTCTATTTTTGGTTAACAAAGATATCAAAAATAACACCTGAAAAGTGTATAAAAAAACCATGTGGCTTTAAACACAAATTGGAGGCTCTCAGGAGTTTGTTAAATATTCGCTTTGAGCGCTTAAATTGAGGCAGCAAATGGGCAGAAAGAAAGTGCCGTTTGAGCGGTGCGAGGTACAGTTAGCGACACACACACACACATACTCAGCCACATGCACACACGCATAGAAAAAATGCAGCATACCGCACGGCGCACGTTTTCTTTTGTAAACTTTATTATTTCGTGTTAAAAGTAAATAAACTTATGCGGGCATACTCGCTCCACCTTTCAGCAGAACATCTACCGCGCTCTGCCTCCTTAGCTATCTGTACAAGTATCCACACTTAAGTGAAATACTAGACTAGGGGGACACAACTCTCACACATGTGCGCATTTTTTTTGCTCGGAGTGTGAGATTTTAGCATGGGGATGGCGGGTGTTTGCATTGTTTGCCATTTGCGGTAGCTTTGCCTTTGCCGCTGCTGTCAGCCAGCCAGTCCAAATTGAAATTGGACATTAGACGTACACACAACGACAGAACAAAATGGCAGCTGCCGCGACTCTGCTGACAACTACAACAACAACAACAACAACAACAACAACAACTGCAACAACAATCAACTACTCCTTGTCCTGCCTGGTGCCGCACTCATTGTGAATGACAACGCCCCTGGTACGTGATTTCATTTCCGTTTGCCTTTGTGCAGTGCACCTCGCAGCTGGCAACTTCGTCGACTCGTTTCGAGTCTGAAGTTTTCGACTCTGCTCCGCTCTAGTTATTTCTTTTTTGGGGGTCGCTTTGAATGCTAAAAAGACCAGACTCTGACTAACTGTAACTGTACGTACATAACATCTATATACCACTGCACTCGTATATGGGTAGCTGCTTTCGGGGCATCGACAAATGCACATTTTACTGTGCATGCGTGTCGTTTCATTAAGAATTTTGCGCTTATCTGGTTGGCTGGCTCACTTTTTGACAGGTGGCTCCACCTACCGCACACAGCACGCACTACACATTTTATTGCGTCTCTTAAGCTGATTTACGGGTGTGCGCATGTGAGTGTGTGCTTGTGTGTGTGCGTGTGTTTGTGTCTGGCAAATTGTTTATGTTCGATTTTGCACACTTTCAGAATTTTTCATCCATTCATTAATAATTTTAATAATTGCGTTGTGACTTATAATTTATATTCCGAGCAGTTCAACTCAAATCAAAACTTCATTACTTATAAAATTGTAAAGTATCTTGTTCGGAGCTATCACTAATTGATGACAATATCGCTTGATTATGGCTTTTGCTCTTTCAAGGAAATTCACGTTTGCGCTGCTTTTGGGACTCCCATTCTCGAAACCTATTAAATTGCAATTTATTAAATTTTTTCATATGAAACCTCTGAGGTTTATAACAGGCATATGGTATATATTATTTAGTCTTGGAATGTCTTTAATTGCCTGTAAAAACATTGCCAAAAAATAACATTAAGCCCCGTTCGCAGTTATTTGATAGGTGAAGGGTATAAAAGATGGCCAAATGGATGACATCATGTGCTAATGAAGCAAAAATGTAGACATTTGTGTTGTGTAAACTTAATTATAATGTGCCATCCGTATTTATCAGCATAATTATAACTATATAAATCATAACTCATTTATATGCAAAGATGCAGACTAAGCAAATCGGAGTACAATGGGCAGATCGTATAATAGAAAAAACAATTAAATATCACAAATATAAGCGCTGAATGTGATCAAAAGCATAGCAAGAAGCTAATCAGCAGGTGGATTTACGAAACGCAGTAGCTTCAAACTGGCTCAGTGTAAACTCAATTAATGTATTATGGTAAACATGAATTAGCATTTACATAAATTCATAAGCGAGCTTTAATTACAGCTAATGAACATAATGCCAAAACAAAACGGCCAAGAAAGCGAATAAGAATCCCAAAAAGGAAATGACAAAAACAGAGTTACCGGACAGAGGCTTGGGTAAAATTTAAATTTCAAAGTCAAGGCCAATGGCTGAGGTATAATTAGCCCTCGGTTCGTGGCGCTAGGCAAACGAGCCATAAAAATATGCATAAATATTCAAAAAAATGTCTTTAAAAGAAAAACTAGTTAGTTTGGTATGACTAAAACAAAAGAGCGGCAAATTAAGCCATAATTGTGTTAGTTACGCGCCCGAGTTCAAGCGGAGAAATAGTTGTTGTAAGTATGTATTTATGTGTTGTCATCTGGCTGCCTATAAGAAAAGTGGGACACATCTTTGAGCAGATCTGCAACGGAAGCCAAGCGTTGCCCATAAGTTGACCGTCAAAACGATCGACATTTACATACGAGATTCGTTTGAGAAATGGGAAGCAAACAAAACGCTGAAAATTTTAAATTTGAGATTTGGTAGCTGCACATAACATTAACAACAAGTTTTTTAATTCGCTTGGGCCATGAATCTGTTTGACTGTCTGACTGTTTGACTTGCGTCTCTTGTTTGCACTTTGCCTGCGAATGATCCAACCGCGGGCAGAGAGACGCAGCCCCGACCAGCCCGCCAGATAATAAATCTACTACCCAATATTTTGACAGCGCAACAAACACAGCAAAAAAAATAAGCAGCAATGCTCATGATATACTGGCTGATAAACTTAATTTGTAGTTGCAATTTACTCCACAATACAACTCATCACAAACCAAAGACACTGCCGGAGAAACAAATAAAAATATCACCATAAATAATGGGCCCTACTGTGAGGAATAATGAAGCGTTCCGGGAGTGTGTACAACTATATACTTACTAAGTATGAGGAAACAAGTTATAAGAAGATGAGCACGCAGAGCGTTAAGATCTATTTGGTTTCTGTATGCTCTTTATTTAAATAATATTCAATTTGGCGATGTAACTTCCGCATTTATATTCCAAATTTATTGCATTTTTCGGAACTGATCAATAAACTGTTTAATGCTAGTCAATGGTATATTTAATTCTTGTGGGCGTATCTCTATTCAACTAAAAGCCGGAAGTCCGGAAAGGCTATTGTCTCTAAGTTCTTTGAGACTCGTATAACAATGCCGAGGAAATCAGAACTAAATGAAGTAGATTATTTTATTTATTTCCTTATGATTTAAATCCAAAGCATTTTTGCAAATAAATGCATGTTTTTGTCTTAATTTATTTATTAATATATATATTTTTATATTTGTTACTTTAAATATAAATTTCTTGTGTTTGGAACCTGTATTTTTATTGATTATTTGTTAGGTAGCTAAATAAATACAAAAGAAAATGTTGTGAGTCGAATTATAATGCTAAGAAAGATCGGATGTAGACTGGTTGAGATCACAAACGGCATATTTAGATACCCTTCTATTACAAACTTATGTTTGCAGGGTATAAAAACGCCTTTGATAGAGCATAAAATTGTGATTTAAGCATTTGCTTCCTAAAGGCTCTTCTCTTCTATTCTTGTTTTTATAAATTAAGACAATGACCCAAAGGTTTGCAACCTTCACGAAGCTGTCAAAAGCGGCACCCAAATTAATTTAAAGAAGTCACGTCAATAGCCAGACCCAAATTTAAAGCATCCACACAGCTTCAGCAAATGGAACTGGTTTTGGCAATAAAATTAAGCAAACATAAAAAAAAACAAAATATTAATGACCAAGGGCCTTAGCCACAAATCACATGATGTACATGTACAAAAATCAAATGGGATGAAAATTGAATGAATTATAATGCCAATAATTATTGGTAGCTCAGACTAATTCCAGAATGAGCTAAAAGCTGTCAAATATATGCAATAAATAACTTATAAAACTTGTTCAAGCCGAAAATCGCATGGCTATTCAGAAAAATGTAGCATATTTTGAGAACAACGAACTATAAAGTGGCCATAAATGTTTAATTAAACCAGTTTTCTATCAGCTAGGCATGCGATAAATGTAATTTGCAAATTTCCGGCTCTACACGAGACATTTGCCAAAAATAAAATCGACGCAACCGAATTCCAAAAGTATATATAATAAATTTGAAACCAAAATTTCCCTTAAGCAACTATTCTTTATGATATTTGATAGCGAAGATACAAATCAATTTGATGGCATAAATTTAAAAAACGCACAATAAATTCTTTGCCCAACAAGATGCGCTCAAAATTGGCGCCATATCAGCCAATATACTCGCCCCAAAGGCGAGTCAGTCTTGCCAAGTCTTAATGAGTATATTCATACTTGAATACTCAATTCGATATTCGACTTTGGCTACACCCAAGCAAACATCAGAAGCGGCTTTGAGGCAAGTTTTACGCACGCAGCTTGGAGTATTTGGATGCCCGCTCTCATCTGTCGATGGTATAAATAGTTACGGCAGAGCCCCAAGCAGACAGAAGCCATTCAAGCGCTTGTGGAGTAAGAGTCATCTAATCACTGAAATGGTAAGCAACAAATGATGGAGCTCCATGCTCGAGGATTGGTTTTAATTGCGGTTTCTTGTACAGAAATTCTTGGTCGTTGCCGTTGCCTTCCTGGCCTTCGCCAGTGCCGATGTCTCCCACTTGGGATCGGGCTACAACTATCAAGCGCCAGCGCCCGCACCGGTCTACCAGCCAGCGCCCGCTCCGGTTTACCAGCCAGCGCCCGCTCCGGTCTACCAGCCAGCGCCCGCTCCGGTTTACCAGCCAGCACCAGCTCCGGTATACCAGCCAGCGCCCGCTCCGGTCTACCAGCCAGCGCCTGCACCTGTCCACCATGAGGCACCCGCCCCTGTGAACACCTATGTGCCACCTGCATCCGCTCCCGCTCCCGTCCGCTATGAGGCTCCTGCACCAGTCTACCAGCCCGCCCCTGCTCCAGTGCACATTGAGGCCCCCGCACCAGCCCCAGTCCACTACGAGGCACCCGCACCCGCTCCAGTCAACACCTACATTCCACCTGCACCAGTGTCGATCCCAGCTCCGGCGCCAGTCTACCAGCCCGCACCAGCTCCAGTCCAGTACTCTGCACCCGCACCAGCTCCAGTCCAGTACTCTGCACCCGCACCCGCTCCAGTTCAGTACTCTGCTCCCGCACCCGCTCCAGTTTTCCAGTCCGCACCCGCGCCCGCCTACCAGTCGCAGCAGTCGCTCGAGGAGATCGAGCAGCCCTCTGCCGATGGCTACCGCTACAAGACCGTGCGTCGTCGCGTCTACCGTCGCAACCGCCTGTAAATCCGAAGCTCCCAAATCGCAAGGCATCCTAACGAATTTCCCATAGAATATCAATAAAAGAAAAGAAAAATTGAAACTTTACCAAATTGTTTTCCAATCAAAATGCTAGCCCGGCCGCACTCAATCAGCAACAGTCCCAATCAGCGGCTGCAGCCGGCAGCTTCAACTTTATGGATACTTCACGGCAAGCCTCTCGCCCAGGAGCCAGCATCCATTTAAGTTGGAAATTTATGAAAGCCAAATGCATGCTTGAGAGAAAAGAGAAATCAACTTAGTATCCGCATCAGCATTGCCATCGCCATCGCCATCGCCATCGCCATCAGCAGACAGATAGCAAGAGGCGGCCGTCAAGGAGTTGCCAGAGTAGGAGTCGCCTCAGCCGCACACCCGCTCCCCAAGGAGTTGCCGCACGGCATTCGGCATGCACTCACATTTATCACGAAATTTATGGGCTGGAATGAGCTTTGATGATGTGGAAATTTTTCTCGTTAGATTCAAAAGTTTCGCCCACTTCCATGCCCACGCCCAACGGCCCACGGCCGTCGTGCACATTGGCCTCATCAGACCACTGACCACTTGTGGCTGCGACTGCCGCAATTGCGCTAACAAGTGCCAGGACACAGGACATAGGACACGGGGCAACAGTGCCCGCATATCGACGGGTCGCAGACCAAAAAAAATTAACAAGAAATGCGATGACATCGACGACGTCTTTACGATTTGATTAGGGAAATGTCTGCAACGACGCGTTGGCTCCAATGGATTTTACTGCCCAGTTGATGACCAGGGTCAGGGCTCAGGCTACAGTGTTTGTGTTTCGGCTTTAAAGCCCCGCCACAGAAGCCGCACACATTACACGGCGCATACTAATTAAAAATAAAAACAAAAACAAATATTAGTTTTCTAGTCCAGATCAGCCAACTAGGAGATATCCTGTACTATCCCCCACTATCTGCTAAAAAGCTTTTATGTTTACCGGGGGTATCGACGGACCCCCCATTTTCCTTAGTAATTTAAATTAATGTCAAATTTGGTGTTCCAAGCTCTTACTCTTCCATTACACTCGATCTTCAAGGATAAACCCACATGCGGACTGGGGTTGTATATGTCTGCTTCCGCCTGTGCCAAGCATTTGCACAACTTGATTCACCCTCTTGACTCGTTGTATAGCTATAGGGTATGGTTACAAAAAGCTGCCAAATTAATTACGTAATTAAAACAAATCATTTTTTGCTAGGCCTAGCCATAGCAACCGCATCAAGCCGGACAGAGGACAAAGGACATGGGACACAGGCCGGGGCGAAGCCAGTGCGCCAGCCCAAGCCTGATTTTGTTAATTGCATTTTGGTCAAATATTGGCAGCTTAATTAAATGAATTAAAATGCGTTTACGCTTTGATGCGCACAAACCGGCTGTACTGGAGCTGGGAAAACGATATACATTGGGATTTACGAGTAGGTGGATATTGTGAAAATTGCATTGCTCCATTTTGACAGGCAATTACAATTTATAGACTATTGAACTTGACCACACTAATCAGTTGGCATTTGTTACTGGAATGCGCAGTGCAGTTGGTTGGGTTCAAAACATTAGCTATAAATGAAATTATATACATAAATATTTAAAAAAAAAATATATATCTAGAGCTCTCTAAAGATTCGTAGATCATATGATATCATAATTCTTAATCATACAACTTGTGTGTCCTTCAATTTAATTGCCTCAAAATTAGTTAAGTGTTAGATTGTTGGCAATGCTGACTCAGTATAGATTACCAATGCATTAGCTGGTAATAATAGGAGCTTACTTTTGTTTCAATGTTTCTCAAAATATTCATATTCTCCAGGATTCCCGCAAAGAAACATTAGGCCCGAATTTGCAGAAATAACCTTTTATTATAAATCAATTAACCAAATATTAATAAGCTATAATATTATTATGAGCATACAGCTAATTATTATTATAAATTAGTAAATATAATTATTTAAAATGAATGTTCTTAAACATTCAACATTGAAATGGTTTTGAATAGAAGTTCAACACATCATGAATTAAAGACGGACGCATTTACCTATGAGTAATTAATAATTTTAAATTTAATATAGTATACAATTTATCAGCCTGCCACATTTTTCTGATGCTCTATTATCTACATTCACACACACACAACCACACACACAGCAGCAGCTGCGATTAATAAAGCCTTAGTTCGAATAACAATCTGCCTGGAATCGAGAAATGTGCAATTTTCAGCCTCATTGCACTTTGCTGACCGGCTTAGCCAGCTCTGGCCAAATAAAACGCAGAGGCGACAGGTGGTGCAGCGGTGCAGCGATGGCGGTTGGAAACAGTTGACAGTTGGCTGCATTTGCAACCGCACTTAATTAGCAGTTAATGATGCTGATTAACACGCATTACGGCCGAGCTGTACGTTCATCCCGCACTCGCTGCGAGCTGTCCAGGTGTGCAATGTGTAATCAATGCTTTAGGCGCCATGGATTACAAAATAATCGCACAGCAGACAGGCGTCGGCCCGGCCCGAAAGTATGCAAAAGAAATGGACCCGACACAACGCAAAAAACAAAAACGAACAACGAAAAATAAAAGCAAAAAGTGAAAATGCGGCGCATACTATATAAAAACTGATGAGGCCTATGAAAGGAGCGGGCAGGTATTGGGCTTACAGCAAGCACAGCTTACGGCAGTTTCGAGTACACACACACACACACACAATATTGACAGTATCTGCGTAATTATATCAGCAGTGGCAGCCACACGGCCACTGAAATATGCAACGTTGACTGCCTTCATTTATTTTTACTGTTACTGCATATTGGGGCGGCGATTCGATATGTGTGGCCATATCAGAGCCTGTTTTACACCTGCACTCAGACCCCAAGCCACCCCTCAACCACCCTGCCGGTGAATGTTGCAGCAGTTGCACTTCATTTGCAGCATTAATTTGTCGCGCGTTGATTTATCTCGCGAAATACACAGATATACGAGCATATAACACGGACCCAGCATCGACCTGGGGTTGCCTGAATTTATGATCTGGCAGTCGCCGGGCATTAAAAAAATGTTTAAATCGATTGTTAAGCGTTGTCAGCTGTTGAAGAGTTTGCATTCCGTTTGGTCTTCTGTGCTTGGTTCATCGCATTTTGATCCAGTTGAATGCATTTTAAATATTTATTTGATCAAACTTTGCAACTATTTTCAGTATTAAAACGTTCCAAGAGAGCGAGAGACCACTATGTGTGGTTCATTATGTTGACCTTGGAGGTCGACAGGTCAACAAACACGTTCTGAAACTCAATTGGATTTAAGGCAGCAGCAGGCAAAGCAGGAACTGAAAGCCTTAACGTAAAATATGCATTAGATTAAACCGCTTTTCGCATTCGAATGTGAATCAAAGCAAATAATTAATCGCCAAAGACGTTAATCAAACGAAACTGTGCGCCAGAATATGTAAATGGACCACTAAATGAACGCTCAGTTGATAAAAGATAAATATTTACTTGGCCGAAAAAGGGAGCAATTAACAAACTTAATCCAGTAATACGAAAGCCTAACATGTTCTTTAGTATTAACTCGTTCCATACAGGCATACAATTTAAAATAAATTCTATAGCTAAAATTATAATATTTAAAAGTTACTTTATGAAACTTGTTATTAGCGAGATCCTGCAAAAATGTTTACCTAATGTAGTTCCTGTAACTGGCCACTGCATACGAAAATAAACTTTAAATTTATAATTTTAATTTAATTAATGCAACAGTTTATTAAGAATCTGATTTACAATCGAAGGTTGTGATCTGAGTATTTTAAATAAAAGTGTTCATCCTTTTTACAATAAAATACCTCAGCATAGCTTTTAAGCAAAATCTGCTAATCCGATTAAAGTGCACCGCAAAAGCTTTAAAGTAAATGTCTTAATCTTGTTGCATTCACATACTCTACCCCATTTTAGTTCGATTGCAATATGATTTGAACTTATTTTTTCTCTCAAATCGTGCAAATTGTAATTCCCGCAATATTGCTTTGTTATTCTTTGAAGCGCTGCATTCCCAAATAATATTCCAAATGCTATTTTCGCTGAACACTCCCCCAAATAGTTGTGTGCCGTCAATTTTTATACATTGCAGTGCAGCATGCGTTGCAACTTCAACTATTAACAAACAACTAAATTACGTATACGCAATGTTGCATGACATGCTATGACATGTGTAAGTGTGTGTGTGTGTGCGTGTGTCTGTGCGTGTGCGTATGTGGGTTCAAAACATTTTGCAGTTTCAGTTTATTGGCGCTACGAAAATAATGGAATTGTCAAAATAAAAGCGGGTTAAGTGCTTGTTTGCATAGCTTTTGTAGTTTTTGTTTGGCGCGAGCTGAAAATATATTCGAATCACAATGGCGACACAGCAACAGCAACAACAACTACAATAACAACAGCAACAACAACCACAACAGCAGTCATTGAGTGACGCCGAAATGTCTCAAATGCTTTTTGGCAAAACTGAAGCGTTGACAATCCAAAAAGTGGCTCATTGGCAATTTGTGTAATTAAAAGAGCGAGAAAAGCGTGTCCTTCACTGAACTTCCTAACACAAACATACACACACACACACACACTCGCCCACTCACACACATTTGGCGGCTAATTTGTTTTTCATGCTGACACATAGGGAAAAAAACTGGCGTCGGTCGCACTGGCGACACGCTCAACTTTTGACCTGCAGCTACTCGCGTATTCAGCTACGCATTTATATCTGTATCTAACGCATACAAAACAACTCTGGGCCATAAAACGACAACAATGGGCCGCTTGGTAGCGAGTCATATTTGGCAAGACGCATCTCAGCTGTGCTCCGTAGTACGAGTTTTTGTTCAAACATACTGGTCCGCCTTATCAAAGTTAATTAAGCAAACTAATCGCAGCAACTTTTGGCTTGCCCGTCAACTCAGCTTTGCTCAGCTCGGCTCGGTTGGTAGTTAACTTTGATAGAAAATAAAGCATTTATGTTTTATGCAAATTACATTTAAATCCAAGCAATGGCAAACAAGTGCGAATGTCACTAGATATTGGACAGAACCGATTTTTAAACACGCTTCAAATTAACAAGGACTTAAATATAGAAACATATTATTGTTGGTTTTTATTTTCAATACATTATTATAGTCTTTTCACTGCAATAAGCATAGGTATTGCAATTTGTCTTACAACATATTCTCAGAGCCATATTTAATTCATATAAATATAAAGAAGAAAACAAAACAAAACATATAAAATAAAATGAAAATAAAAACAAATAAAAAATAAATGAAAATAAATATTAATGAATATTATTATTGAGTGCCCGAAATAAAATTTATAAATCGCGATATTATATATTTATCAATTTGAATTATAAATAATATCGATTGCTATACAATTTTTAATACAGAAAATAATAAAATGCAGATTCTCCTTACAACTTAAGGCCAAATTGTTGAACCCCATGAGCACCATTAGATACCCTACACTCCATTAGTTTTTGTGTAAACAGCTGTTGACAATAAAATTCTGGTTTCTGGCATATTAAGAGCCTATAATGTGCACAATTCTTCATCGCGTTTGTCTTCGGACTCAGCACCGCGCACAGTTTCATATAAATACTCCCAGCTCGGCTTGTCAGAGATATACTAGCTACCTAAACGTTCCAAGTAACACGCTCAAAATGGTAGGTGAAGCGTTAATAGCAGCAATAGCTGCAGCAGCATCTGACAGTTTGAGTAACTCAATCAGGACTAATCCTTTAAATTTTACTTACAGAAGCTTCTTGTTGTCGCCTTCGCCGTTTTGGCCGTTGCCCACGCCGATGTGTCCCACCTGTCGGGCTATAACTACGCCCCAGTGGCACCAGCCCCAGCTCCTGTGGCGCCAGCTCCTCTGCCCATTAAGGCTGCCCCTGCACCACTGCCTGTGAACACCTACATTCCACCGGCCGTTGATGTGCCCGCACCAGCTCCCATTCAGGTTGAGGCGCCCGCTCCAGCACCAGCTCCAATCCGTATTGAGGCTCCAGCTCCAGCTCCCATCAGGGCTGCTCCTGCACCAGCCCCTGTCAACCAGTACATCCCACCAGCGGCACCAGCTCCCGCTCCAGCTCCCATCCGGGTTGCTCCTGCTCCAGCCCCAGTCAACCAATACATCCCACCAGCTGCTCCCGCTCCAGCTCCAATCAGGTCTGCTCCCGCCCCAGTTCTGGCTCCCCAGCCCGTTCTGGAGGAAATCGAGCCCATCTCTGCTGATGGTTACCGCTACAAGACCGTGCGCCGTGTGATCCGTCGCCGTCGTTAAGCAGTAAACGACCCGCTCCCTAAATTTTGGGCGATGACAAGAAGTTGATTCAATAAAAAGATATTAAGTTTGTACAAAATATATAGTTTGCTTTACTGCACAAATGGGAAATGATCAATCACGATATCACCTTGATATCTTTAGAGACAAAACAAAGGCAATCGACTAGAGGATACCCTGCGCCAAAGTGTGGAATACTCTATCGAAGTTTATTGTTGGAACGTCTGCTTGGTGTTCAGTTAATAAAGATGTTTTGCAAGAACTTAATTTAAAAGATTTAAAATCAAGGTTTTATCTTTGAAATATGCGGATATAATTAAGTCAGAGTTCAGAGTTCGGGTCGGAAATATGAAAATATTAAAATAAACTTGATCTGCGCATGCTATACAACCTCTGTGCTCGGCGTGGCCAGTTTTAGCAATAGGTATAGCTATATATATATTATGTTATAAGCGTTTCTATTTTTTTTTAGTTTTCTCTATAGACTCTACCTCCGGGACTACAATGCAAAGTATTCGAAATACTAGTCAAGATTAAAAGCTACTGAGCTAATTCTCTACACAAAATCAAATCGTTTAGTTTATGATCGAGTTCCGCAGCTGTGCATCTAAAACCTTACAGCACATATTTAAATTTTATTTCCTTATTTCGATAATTTAGGATTTATGCGCTGGAATACTTGCCAGCATATTAACACTTTCATTATGTTGGACACAAATCCTAATTGGTATTCATATTATGCAAACAGCTGGGAACCGAAATCTATTTAATATGCCTGGCATTCGCCGGGAAAATAAATTAGGCAAATGCGATTCTCGGCAATTAACTAGCCGACCAGCAAAAGCAGCAGCAATAAAGCGAGAGAAAAATGAAAACAAAAAAAAGAACAAACAAAATCAATTGTTATTAATTTAAGCATTCATTTAAAATGATGCCATAGGCTGAAAGCTCATTTGCTGAACATAAATCAGCATTGCGAGCTTAAAATTAAAAAATAAAAAAAAAAAAACAGGAAAAAACGAGCAACAAGATTAAATCAAATTTAAAATAACACAAGAAACATTGAAAGCTAAAGCCATTATAAAATAATAATAATAATAAAAGAAGAAAACGCATCTTATGCCGAAGCCTAGATACCCTTATGCTAGTGTTTTATACGAAAGTCTTAAGACTTTATTAATTAATAGTCATACCTTCTCATAAACAACATGGATTGGTACAAGCTGCTGCAACGGCGGTCTCAGCTGAGACCAATAATTTAAAAAACGTATATGTATTAACTTTTATAGATTTACATATTGAAGTAAGTTATTTTCAACTTCTTAGTTTGAGTTCAGCTTACAAATCCCAGGGATCCTTTGCTTTCCGTTTTATAAATATATATTAACAATCAAGCGCCTTATAAATGAGTCAAAGTTCCTTCATAGTGTCTTCGTAAATTCGTCTGAGCACACAAAAGTTAAGGACAGGAAGAGACATACGACACATATTTCCGAAGCAGCTGCCCAATTTACTTTGCCTTTTTATGCAGATAATTCATCTAATAACCATAACAAAGCCAATACGCCAAAGACAACAAAAATATGTGAGCAATATGAAAATAAAGAAGAAGAAAAAACAACGCTAATAGTGCGAGTGACCCACGAACATACATCAAGCTCAAGAGCTTCAAAGCGTCAAAAGGAAAAAAGTTAAGAGACTCCACTCAAAGACGAAATAGAAGCAACACAATAACTAACGACATTCATATGTAAATGGTCAAAATGTTATTTTTTGTTTGATCTAATTAAAGAAGCTTTGGGTCCTAAGAGCTGACCCCCCTCGATGCCCCGGCGCAATGCTTCATTGCATTGTCTTAAGGTGTCGGCGTAAGAAACCCGTCCAACCACTTGGCATTGGGCGCCCCTCTTCCGACTCGAACTGAGACCATATCTCAAGCGTAGCTCGCGGCACTTGAGGGCATATACAGATAGCGTGGCATCGCGCAATTAATTTGCGGCTGCAGCGGCTGCTGCTGACCCGAGGTTCAACTATGGGCTATAAAAACCGCAGCGGGCTTAGAGTTCAGCAGTACACAGCGACTTGTGATCCAAGCAGCAAGCACAGCAAAAAGCCAAGCAATCCAAGATGGTAAATTGCATCAATGGATCATTAAAGGACTACAGTAACATCTAAATAAAACTGCCAATCTATCGATTCACAGAAATTCCTGATCATTGCCGTCGCCTTTTTGGCCTGCGCCATGGCGGACGTTTCGGAACTGGGTGGTCAGGGTTATGATTATCCGCATCCGGCGGCGCCAGCACCTGCACCTGCCTATATTCCCCCACCACCTCCACCACCACCACCGGCACCAAAGAACACCTATATCCCTCCTCCTCCTGCTCCGGCCAAGGCATACATTCCTCCCCCAGCCGCTCCAGCCAAGGCCTACATTCCACCCCCACCACCACCACCACCACCAGCACCCAAGAACACCTACATTCCCCCTCCTGCAGCTCCCGTAGCTCCCGTCAACACCTACATTCCCCCTCCTGCTGCCCCCGTCCAGGCTGAGCAGCCACTCATCGAGGAGATCGAGCAGCCCGCTCAGGATGGCTACCGCTACAAGACTGTCCGTCGTCGTGTCTTCCGTCACCGCAACTAAGCAGCGGCTCTGTGAACTCCACGAATTTTGTTGACTAATGTGATAAACGAAGAAAAGATGAAGAGAATTTTCAAGAATTTGTTTTGTTAAACAATTTTAAAACCTAAACAAGCGTAATAAACTTTTTAAGCAAACTTAAAGAATTTCATATAACTTCAACAAAGCATAAAAGTGGAAAAGTGATTCTCGGGCAAGGCCGGGTAATATCTGCTGTGGCTGATTTTAATACAGGCTGTTATCACTTTTTTTGATAGTTCCGCTTTCTGCGCTTCATATTAAATGTCATTCGATTCATATTAACTTAAGTAAGCCTTGTATCTCTGTTTATCAGGTTTATTTTAAAAAGTTGTATTAAAAAATCTACTTAGCCTTTCTACCTCTCTCTTACTTTAACCTGTTTTTAATTCCTTAGTTCTTTAGGTGCTGCTTCTAATAGGGGAACACTTGATAAAACATGTTTGCATTTATATTTAGTTATGCATAAATAGGAATACATAAGTTAATATTAATAGGAAGTAACATAAAAAAGCTACAAACATGTCTCAGACATATTCTTCGTAATTATTGTCTACAGGGGAATTTACTTTAAAGAAAGCAGAGCCCATTCTTAAATCTATTCTGAAAATCGATTCAAAGCATATTGAGCAATCCAACAGGTCAACCTTTAGCAAGTTTTGGCAATCAACTCAACTCACTTTACTTCCACTTAACATGCCACAGCCCATTGCCATGCCTAAGAGTCATGCTTATCCAATATGTTTACCACAAAAACCCTAAACAAACCGCTCAAGGCCAAACACATGTCACCGGCATTCAGACTGCCATCGTCTCTATCGCCAGTGCAGTAAAAAGGTCAATTCAACGACCAGACCAATTTGAGCTACCCAAAAAATGGCTAAAACATTCAATGCCAAAAAAAAAGAAGGAAATATGTACCCCCCACAACAGAAAAGAAAAAACAAACAAATCCTCGATTACAAAATCAAACAGCATGAGGCAAAAATTTGCTAAAAAACAAAGGAGCCAACTTGTTGGCCATAATGCAAAATGGGAAAATATGCGAATTCAATAACTGCTCGCCAGTCTGAAAGGATATGAGGCAGTCCTGCGTCGATGAGTGGGGCTGCTGTTCCTGCTTTAGTTTATATCCTTGTGTTAGCTCCTCTCTCTCTCTTTACCTCGCTCTCCCTTGCTCTCTCTCTCTGTCTCTCTGTCTCGCTTCAGCTGTATCTGCAGTGACATGGCAGAAACCCTTACAAGTCATTTGGCCAATTGCTGTTGACTTTGCTCTAAAACGAATTTCCTTTGGCCAACGCCGCCAACGGTCCTCGTTGTGGACGTCGCCAATGGATGCCACATATTTTGCACCCAGTTTATGCTGATGACATGCAAGTGGCGAAATTATTTTGCGCTCGTGCATTTTGCTGCCAGGCGAATAATGAGCAGCAAACAAGCTGTGGAAATCAGCAAGCAGGACGGCGCGATACAATGGGGATCAAAGACTGCAAGGGAACAATAAAGAAAGCAAAACAAATCATCATCTGCAGACTTGACTATCAGACACCCAGTAATCGCAGTCCGTTAATACTCTTATTAACTGGGCCTTTATATTATCACTATAATAAATTAACTCTACCTAAATTGTAGGGGAAAGCAATGTTAGAGGGGGCAGCTTACCAAACATTAGGAATTCGCGAAATTTTTTATTGATTTATTTATTTTATCCCCGCCGGGGATGTCGGCGGTGAAATTAATAAAAAATATTTATTTAATATTATATGCATTTCTAAACTAACAAGCCAAAAAAAAGAGTGAAAAATATATGAAAAAACTGAAAAAAAAAACAATGTAAGAAAAAATTCCTTAGCTTGAAAAAAACGCGAGTGGAGCGTGCCGCGTTGGTCAAGCTTTGAACTCTTTATGCGATGTTTGGTTGCTATTCAGTTAAAAATAGTACAATACGCGTGTATGTTAAGAATATTCCACTAATATTTAAAACTGAAGCAGAGTTCGTAGTGTCTTTAAGCATCTTGACAATGTATACCCTTATGGGTCGAGCTAAGGTACGGGTATAAAAACAAAACTGCGGCAGACACTCGCCCCCTGCTCATCCCCTGCTCCTCATTTGGCTACCCTCAACCTCCGCAGCTGCAAGCCGCAGCCGCCTTTGTCGCCATCGTGTGACATACGAAAATTCCCCATGGAGTCTATCAACAGTTGATAAAATGTGAGTAGTGTGTGTGTGGGGGTGTTGAGGGTGTGTGGGGGTGTGTAAGTGTGAGAGAGCTATCCCATGCTTAGCATTGGCATTTTGCTTTTGCTTTTGCTTTTGGTATGTACATAAGTTTATTATTTTGAAGGTAATTGGATTTGTGTTGCAGCAACAGCAGCAACAGCGGCAGCCAAGAAGCTAGAGACCCGACCTCGTCCAGGAAAGTCGCATATTCTGCGGCAAAATAATAAGAAAATATATATTTTTTCTTACGCGCCGACAAGGACAATGAACCTAAAAGAGGATGAAGACGCCGACGAGAATGGCGCACATCCCAATCGCAATTGCAACATATGGCCGGGCCAGGGAGTCGCTGCCACCATTGGACATTGGCCAGCCTCGAACAGGGCCATTGTTTGCAGTCGTAATTGTTTTCCTAATGGATAAAGTCTATAAATTTCTGTGCACGACGCACAGCCAAATGCGAAATATGTCACGAATGTTAAGCGTTTTATAAACGACAACTACGGACCAGGACGAGATGTGGATGCTGCGGCAACTTATCGATGCCAGCCACTCAGCGGGAGTGAAAACGAAGTGCTTTCCCAATGAATGGAAAATTGAGTTGTTTATGGACCTGACACTAAAATCTTTGCGAAATGTGAAGTAGAATTTAGACGACAACAACTCCACAATGGGAACGTACCATATTCTGGACATATTCATGACCTGCCTTCCAAATATATATTAACTGCCACTTAATGTACCTGTCAAAATCTGTTGTCTTAAATAATTCAACGGTTGAGACCTTGCTAGATGAGTGTTCGTCTTATAGTTTCCTAGTTATATTAACTTGACCTGAAAAACGAACCTCACTAATCTTTAAAATGGCTCTTTAATCATTGTTAACCTTGGAATAAAGTGATCCTAAACTAATAATAATAAAGATATCACTGATTAATGATATCTTCAAAGCATACAACGTCTCTTTATGTGTATGTGTATGCATGTGTGAATACCTTTTTTAATAACTTCTGTGTTTCTGAACCGATTTTCTACAGTGGATCTTATTGTACTATACTGTTATTGATTATCGCACACCACGTATTTCGTAGGCACTAGGAGGATCTACGTTCAATCTATCTGTTATAGGTTCTGAGACCGACGCGTTCATACATGCGGACAGAAGCATAGACAGACAGACGGACATGGCCAGATCGACTCTGCTATTGATGCTGATCAATAATGTGAATACTTTATAGGTTTGGAGTTGCTTCCCTTTTTAGGCATTTTCAATGGGTTCAATCGGTAAAAAATAAAAACATGTTCTTTTAAATATATTTTAGATTTTGTATATTTATTCATAGCTAATAATTAACTTTAGTTACATTATCCTGTTCGAGATCCTTTGATGTATATCAAAGAAAATACAAGACAACAATTTTACAGTTACAATATCTTCTTCGCTCTAGATTTGCTTGGTGCCAGCTTCCAACACACTCGAGTCCAGCGATAACAACAAAAAACAAGCAAGACTCTACTCCAATTCAGACCGGATCACATTTAGTTGCGGTGACGGAAGACACGACGACGCACAGTCTTATAGCGGTAGCCATCCTGAGCAGGCTGCTCGATCTCCTCGATGACGGGCTCCGCAGCAGCAGGCGGAATGTAGGCATCAGCCGGTGCAGCCACAGGTGCAGGTGGGATGTACTCTGGCAGCGGTGCAGCTGGTGCCGGTGGGATGTACTCGGGCGCTGGTGGTGCTGGGGGTGCGGGTGGAATGTAGGTCTCCACTGGTGCGGGCGCTGGTGGCGCCGGCTGTGGGTAGTCATAGCCGGGCTGGGCTAGTTCCGATACATCGGCGAAGGCGCAGGCCAGGAAGGCAACGGCAATGATCACGAATTTCTGTAATGCAAGATGACATTAGTTGACGTATGAAGGTATATCTGAGTGAGTGGCTGCCTACCATAATGTCTTGATGTTTGTGCTACGATGGGTAGACGCAGTGTGCTGTGGCTCTCGGAGAATGCAACTCCTTATATATGTTAGTTAATGTGAAGATCGCTGATCTGTCAGCGCCAGCGGCGACGGAAGCTGTCAAATGACTTTGAACTTGATCGGCCCCAGCTGCCTCGCTCTTCGCTTGTCGCTGCCGCCCGGCTGTGATCTATAGATCCAATCACTGGCTACACCGACCGGTTTCTTGCGGTCTGTGGATGCACGCAGCTTGAAGAATTGATGAAGCTGTGATCACGTTTTGTCTTTATCTATGCATTATCTTGACCCCTGAGTTTGTTGAGTGGACAGCAGCCAATTGATTTTTCGACTTAGAGGTCAACAAAATGCGCTTTGTGTGTTTGAAATGCGGCCCTTTAATTGATTTGCTTTGCCGGCAAGCGACCCTGAAGCGACCCCCGCTAAAAAACCTTTTTTTTTCGTTTTGTTATAAATTTTGTTGTTAGTTTTTTTTTTTGTGGTTTGAAGCGTGTGCTTGATTAAAAACAAATTTAATTTGCATTTTGTTTGAGAGCGCACAAAACTTCAATTACTGTCCAACCAAAACTGGGAATAAGAGATTGTTCAACTGTTGCCAGCCACGGTTGGGGCATTTTAACCAGTACAGTGGACTTAATTGACATATTTGAAAAAAACCAAAAAAATGGTTTTATGCAATTCAAACTCATTTACTCGATTAGTTGAAGCTGCTTAAAATATTTAAGCAATAAATTAATAATAATAGAGGTTCTTTTTACAACTTTGAAAATATTATATTATATTATATCAATTAATATTTTAAGTGTTTCTGAATATAATTGAAACTTTTCGCCAGTTTATTTCAATTTAATTAAACTTTTATTCTTCAATTTTTGCTTAGTTGCTGCGCTGCTTGACCCCATTGTACAGCATGTTGTGCAGTCCCTGATAATATTGCAAATTATTTTCTTTTTTATGTTGATTATTTTTTGTACTATTGCCCCGCCCATTTCTCTTATACTGCTGCCACACCTCGCACACACCTTGACGTTGGTTTCTGCTTCGCGTTTCTTTACAGCATTTTTATGAACTTTGTTTTTCATTTGTTCGTTTCCGTTTTTCCGAGCTCATCATATTTTAATGTGGAGGATTCCGTGGCGGCATCTTTGGCTTTCGCTATGCTTCAAATTATTCTCAAGAGATTTGCAGTTCGTGATTTTAGCGAGCAATTTTATTGGTCGCCCTCCGCTTACCCCCAGCTGCTGCGGGGTGGCTCTCAGTTTAAGACTTTCTTTTCAATGAGTTTTGTGAGGGAGGGGGCGAGGGTTGAACTGGCCGTAAACCTTTGCCCTGCTGCAATTGCAGCTGATGTTGTGGCCCAGGGCACAGGGTAAAGGGGCTTGGGTATATGAACATATCAACTGGCTTTTAATTAACGCGCTTAAGTCTGCATTAACTTGGCCTAAGCCGTTTTTAATTTCTCAGCTACCCGCCGGCTCACATAATTGAATTAGCCAAAGCACCAGACACCAGACACAGGACACAATGCGAGCCGGCGAACCTTATGCGCCGTTATCCTTGATAATTAATTTAGACGCAATTGTCCAGCAGCCGGCAGAGACGGAGAGTGAGAGTGGCCAGTGCACTGTCAACCCAAAATCCTTTGCCGTTTCACGTCACGTGCCTGCGATTTTTTCATAAATCGCCAGCAGGGACAGCTTTGTCCAGCTGCAGAGTCCCCACAAAGAAAAGCCAACACAACTAAGCATTTTTTTTTTTTATATTTCTGAAGAGTCAGTTTTGACAACGCACGTCCCTAGCAAAGGGGGCTAGCTGATGCACACGTAGCACGCATTGGAGATGCGTCAAGTTACCTGGCGCAGTGGCAACATTGGAGCAATGGCAGCACCTTTCAGACGAGCCATGAAATCGAGTTTACAGCTTACTAGCTTCACATAGGGGCCCAACAATACGTATACGAATGTGAATACCACTGCGAGTACTCGTAGTCCTACTCTAACTGTACTCTGCAGCAGAGGCAACCATAATTAAATGTCAAAAATGACGCTACGTGCGAGGCAAGCAAAGTGGCTTCAGGCAGCAGCTCCGCATGCTGCCGGAGGCCAAAGTTCAACGAAAAATGCCAAAGAAAAGAAGTTGCTTCTTCGTTTTTCTTCTTTTTTTTTGCCTGGGCTGCCCCAAGTAACTTTCTTAGAATCAAATAAACATATACACACATATTTGAAACTCTGTATGTGTGTATGTCGAAAAGGTAGCATAGAAGTTAGTCTAAACTGTTGACGGATAAGTTTTGTGTTAGAATATTAAAAAAATAAAATTAAATAAGAAATAAGTTGAGATGGCAAGCTAGCGATTCCTTTGGTTCACATTGCTAAGTTCCCATTAAAAATTTCTCGACTCAAGAAAACTAATAATAAAAAACAACTTACATAAAATAAAATATAATACAATATTATACATTTCGATATAGGATATGATAATATCCCCGAAACTCAATAAAAATAAGGCGGCAGGGCTTAATCCATAACAACACTAAACTTTTCAGTTAGATTACGATTTTTAAAATCTAAAAAGTAGCGACTAGTCTTTTCAATTTCCACCCGTTCTAGAAACCAACTCAAGATAATGTTGAGCCAGCCAAAAAGTCATATTTTTTAAGCTTCATCAATTAGCCAATAACTTGAGCCAAAATTGTTTTTAGTCTAATAAAACATTAACAATATTTTATTGCATACTCTTACCCCGCTCTTTAAATGCAGCGCTGAACGAAACTAATTGCATACTTTTGGCATGACCATAAAAATCTATCAAGAACTTTACTTCATTACAGCAAAGTCAACTTTCGTGCTAAGTGAAATGAATTACTTACATGTTTACCATATAATTGGAATGGAAATATTATTTTTGCTTTTTGGTTTCTGTCATTTGTAAAAGAACGAACAAAAAAATAAGTCTGCCAAGTTAAAAAAAAATCTAAAAGATGCAAGCGTATATAGTAAGTTGATAAACTATACTTGAGATATCAGTTTATAAATTCTATTATCAACAATAGCTTTTTGTAATCGCTTAATTTAGTGCCCAAAACTTTGGCACAAAAAAAAACCGAGAAACCCTTAAAAATTCTCGGAAAGTAATTTAACATTGCCCTTTCCATCTCGTACTTCTTTCCCACTATCGCGCACGCCATTTGCAAACTCTGCAAAAAAGTAGCTGGAAACTATTTGAAATTTTTTTTAACTTTTTTTGGTCCTTGAATATGTATCGTACTTTTATTGCCAGTCTGTATTATTTGTTGCTCTTGTTGCATGTGCATATTATGCCCCCGAGGCAAAGGAACATGGGCAGAGGTTCTTCCCAGGCAACAACAAGCGATGCTTATGAAAAAGTACTTAACGTGCACAAAACTTATGTGCCAAGAGACTTTCCCCAACTTCCCACTTTCCGCTGATTCCAGACTGAAAGTTACAACGACATACGAATTTTCTACAACAGCACTATGCATAAGGTGGGTAATAAATTGGGGGATGGGGTTCACGGCATCCTATGAAATATTGCCAATAACACATTGGAACGGCGGAGTGAGTGAATGCTTACAGCTCCCCCCAAGTAAAAGAAACTTTCCACGAAATGCTAATCGCATTTTTCAATAGAAAAGTTCTAGCGCACTTTCCACAGTCCGCACTTAATAACATAATCTAAACTAAATACAAGTGTTTGGAACTTTACCAACACAACAACTTTTAACTTTAAATTGATTATTTAAAAAGATGGTACACCACTCAGAATTCGTTCTATTCGTGTTACCGAGCGATCATCGAAGCGCCACGCCCACAAAACGAGTGATAAATCACATCGCAAAGGGCATCACGCAAATCCTCACGCTGCCGAATAAAACGATTCATCTCATCAACGCGGGTGTGACTTGCTTTCAGAGAGTGTGAAAGTAAGTGAAGACTGACTACAGAAATGATCCTGTGAAGTATAGTCTTAATTTTTCAATGCCCACCAAAATGCTCTATACGCCGCTCGACCAAGAACCGATTGGGAATTGCATGAGAGCGAATGAAAAATAAACAAATCGTACGGGGGTTGCTATGCCGTCGCGTGTTTATTACGTTTTGGTATTGCCGCTGCTTCTAAGCAAACGAGTCCATATTTTATACGAGCGATGATCAGCAGCAGACAATTCCAGTGCAAACACACGTTTTTAACAAAAATTCACAAGCAAAAAAATCACTTGGCAGCGGTGGGATTCGAACCCACGCCTCCGAGGAGACTGGTGCCTTAAACCAGCGCCTTAGACCGCTCGGCCACGCTACCATGCTTCGTGGCGGCGCCCAATATCGTAATAATGTGAACTGCTTTTCATTGATTATCGGAAAACGTATTTTTTTTTCATTTAAATTCATTTGTATTAACACTTTAGTGCGTCTCATGAACCAAATGATATTAAAAGAACTTGTTTGCCTTTAAATGAAATAAAATTAAATGATTCTCAAAATGCGCACAAATTTTCTAATTAAGCAATGTAAGCTGAACTATTTTGTCAACTCATTCATTAAGTTTTCACTTATTTCTATTTCGTGCAACTTCAGAGGCCGCCGCCGGCTTGCATTTCAATTGTGCGTGTTGTTTTGTCTGTCGCCTGGAAAGCGCCTGGAATGTGCCCACAATGGGCCTTTGTTCGATTGCCTTGTCATTTCGGTTAGTCAATTGTTTGAAATTTCATTTAAGGCTCTCTCTCGGACATGTCCCAGGAAATTCATTGGATTCCAGGTAATGCCCACAATTAACTCCATTAGCATTTTGTCCGCTTGCTACCCAATTGGTGCTGTACGTGATTTTTTGCGTTTTACACGCGTCTGGCATTAAAAATTTACAGCTTTGCAATTATTTGCATGCCAAGCGCCTTAAATTTGTGGAAATTCACGTGTGTGGCTAAATATTTTGTATGCTGACGCGGCTGCGGCTGCTTTTTGCAGACCTTTGCTGGCATTTTAATGAAACCGCAAATGTTGCCCGTACCACCCCAACCCCCAACCCCCGACTCCAAACTCAGGACACACCGCACCACACCCTTGCATATGAGCTGAGACTCGCCCAGGAAAACCGCAGACTTTGTTTTTGTTTTGCCTGTCGCCCGTGCAAAGATTTTTATTGCAATTTTCTAATTTCATTGCGGATGCTCCCTCCAGTGCCTCTCCCATAGAGTTGCCTGTCGCCGGCTTCAGTTTATGGCTGCAGCAACCAACATCAGACGGCAGCGGCAGACAACCGACAAGAACAATAACAAAGGCGACGGCAAATTGTTGCTGCGGTTGCACATGTTAGGGACTCGTTTAGCTTGCCCCTTCAACGCGTCCCTTGCACGTCACGCATAAATTCGCATTTTCATTTGAATTTTAAACGCATTTTCTAACCGTCTTACCGTCTTAGCAAAAACGCTGACAGTTTTGTAAAAATAATAAATATTTTAATGCTGGGCACTTCAATATAGTCAAGAATACGCTAGAAATTGATTTCGTTTCATTGGCATTTTCCCCAATGAGCGCATTTATATGCGCCGCAGTGTGGCAAGCAAAATAAACTCAAGGTGTTGCCCTATGCCCCGCCCCATGGAAATATATAGTTCAACAACAAAATACTACGGCGGCCTTTCGTAACGTCATCGTCGCAGTCAGCGTTAAACGAGCACAAAGCAACGAAAATTCCACGAGCGCGCAGTGTTATGCTTGTTCTTTCGTTTTCGTTCTCTGTTATAGCACATTTGACACGACGCCGACAACAGGTAGCGTGGCCGAGCGGTCTAAGGCGCTGGTTTAAGGCACCAGTCTCCTCGGAGGCGTGGGTTCGAATCCCACCGCTGCCAAGTGATTTTTTTTTTTCGTTTTCTTGTTTTTACTCACTTGCAAAAAACGTGTTTTAATATATACAATCAACTGAAGTCGTTCACTACTGATCGTCGCTCGCACACAATCTAACAAGTAGCGTTCGCATACAAGACATAATAGAACGTGACCGCACAGCAACACCCCCGTACTATTTGTTCATTTTTCTTTCGCTTTCTTAGAATTCTCAATCGGTTCTTGGTCGAGCGGCGTATAGAGCATTTTGGTGGGCATTGAAAAGTTAAGACTATACTTCACAGGATCATTTCTGTAGTCAGTCTTCACTTACTTTCACACTCTCTGAAAGCAAGTCACACCCGCGTTGATGAGATGAATCGTTTTATTCGGCAGCGTGAGGATTTGCGTGATGCCTTTTGCGATGTGATTTATCACTCGTTTTGTGGGCGTGGCGCTTCGATGATCGCTCGGTAACACGAATAGAACGAATTCTGAGTGGTGTACCAAATTTTGAATATATAAATATAAAACAATGCGGACTAGCAAAATGCTTTGAGTTGAGTACTTTGTACCATTTTATTGCAGCGCAATTAAAAATGTAGAGCCCTTGTCGCAGTTGTTGGAAGTTTGATGGTGCTTATCGACATGACATTTTGCGAGGTGCAGGTTTAACATTTTGGTTCAAGTGTGCTTCGTGCTCAAGGTGCTGCTGGACAGATAATTTCAACATGAAAAACTGCAATTGTCATAGAACTTTTTGCTAATTGGAATAAGGCGACACTTTTCTAATTACTTAACGGTGCTTATAAAATACCTTTGAGTGTGAGTGAGGACGTGTTTTTGCCTTAATTTAATGAGTTGCCTCACATAATGAGAATGTCTCACTACATGGTGATTTTTTATAAAGAAAATATAGCAGGAAAAACACCTTGCTTAGGATATGTGAATGTTATTTTATTTAATTTGTTTTGAAAAGGTTTTTTATCGAGTATTTTCTGCAGATTATAAGTCTTATATATTAGTGAACTTTAAGAGTAAAATTAAAATGATTGAATGTTTATGATTACTTATATTTATGTTTTTGGTGTTATATTTAATTTGTCTTTGGTAGTAAATTGCAAACAAATAAGTTCAATTTTATTTTTCATAGAAGAATGGGGCTTTCAAAAATACAATTTTCTATTGAAAATATATCACTTCAAAGTATTTACAATTTCAAATATATAGAAAAAAAAAGCTTTCGACCTAAATAATTTCCTTCATTTCGCACGCAATAGCAATTAAGAGCTGTCTATTCATGTCTATGGCCTTTTGCCTGATCATTGTTTCTGTTTGCATATGGGTCCACATGGACAGTTTTGGGTACACGACACGTAGTCGAAATGTATTTAAGCAATGAGAAGCAAATTCGAGTACGAGTAAAGGCATTGGGTATGAGTGCTGCGAGTACTCGCATAAAAATACATTTGAAATGTGGTAAGAGTAAACCGCAGCATTGTCAGCAAACATTCATTGAAACATCATCATTATCAACGTTATCATCGCCAAAAGGTTGGTCTCATGTAACTGTGGCCTGGCCAGGGAATGAAGGTGGGAAGGGGATTCGATGCTGTAATTGATGTCTTTGCGACATGCTTCCAAAGTGTTTACGTTGAGAATTACCCAAGTGCCGCAGTGTATAAGTAACCGTGTGTGTGGGGGGGTTGGGATGTGTGGGCGGACATGTCACGCCCACTGCTAGTTGACAGCCTGCCGTTTACGTGCACTTAATGAAATGTGCCCCAAAATGGAAGCACGTTCCGGGCATCTATTTAATGAGCCTGCAAGCGAAGGCAAAACGCTTTTACTTCCTTACCCCCTCCCCCAACACACTCACAGCCCCCGCAAGCCCCCCTTTCCCCGCGTACCGTGCGAAAAATGTTGATGTGACTGGTGAAATTTTTAAATGTCGCAACGTAAATTCAATTTTCATTTGTTGGAATCGGGCAGCATTAGCAATAGCAACAGCTGCAGCTGCAGCCGCTGCATTATTCAATGGCACTCACAGCAAATGCTCACCTTAAGCCGGCGGTAGATATACCCTGTACTGTGCCGCTCCTTCTACCGCCCAATTCTCGCCACAACAAACCGCATTTTAAAATTCATGTGTGCTCTCAACAATGCTCCACAGAAAACAAAATGCGATTAAATGTGTGGAAAATGACGCAGGATAAGCCACAATGGGTTAAGGCAGCGTCTTGTTTGCACATGTGTCCCCCAAACTACACTCCGCCCACCCACCGGCAAACCCATGCAAGCTTACATCCAAATTCAGGCAGGCACAGACACACGTCGAAGGTGCAAAAATGCGTTAAACATAACATGCTAATTCCAGTTGCCTGCAGCTTCAATCTTTCAGCATCAGCTTTTGCCACACCTTGCCGCAGACCGCCCCGCCCCCTCCCACCTTGCTCCCTTGGGGCAGCACACTTGGCGTATACGTAATACGAGCGTTTTGTGTGCCATTTGATGCTGAACATTTGCTTTGCAGCCAGTTGGCTTTGTGTTTGCGCCGTGGCAAAGTTTTGTGGCTACAGACTGCTAGTATGCCCCTGTGGGCGTGGCAACACCGAACTGGCCAGTGAAAAACACTTCGAGTTGCTAAAGATGCCAGCGTAGATTAAAGCTTCATGTTTTAGTTAGGTAGTTGTCTTCAACATAGTTTTTAAAATTAAAAACTGCAGATTTGACCTGATGTCATGCTTCCAGAACCGAATTAATGTATCTATTTATGCACGGGTAATATAATTAACAATTAAAAACAAAATTTTAAAGAAATTAAAACCTTTTATTCAATTATATGCAAATTATATATTATAAAGTTATTAACTTAAATAATTGAATATAACATCAATTTTAAAGCATTTAAAAATAAAAAAAAATAATAAAAAACGTAATTCAAGAAAATAATCCTAGCTCTACACATATGCACAGGGAATATATAATAATAGTTCCTTTTTTTCAATCATAAAAAACATGCAAAATGCAAATGATTAATAATCTTAACAAAATAAAAATTAAATTGAAGCAAACAATGCAAAAAAAAAAATTAACTAACCGAAAGACCAATTAATAAAATAACAAGAATATAAGCATTTAATAATAAAATAAATTAAAAAAAGATAATTATAATTTTAGGCTTCGTAAAATTCTTAAAATTTGTGAAAAGCAGAACAACTCCAAGTACTTCTGGAACCGCTCTCGACAGATCTTAACAAATTTCCCACGGAGCAGCTTTTAAAATTTCTCGGCAGCTTTTTTTAATCAACATCTCTACACTAATTCGTGAAAGCTTTCTCGCTTTTCGAAAAATCTTGTTCATCTGGATAAAAGCTTAAAACTGGATTCATCAATAAATTGGAAAGCAGCCCTAAAAACTCATTCAGTTCCGTAGCTCACGCTGCCCAGATGTGAGGCTGGGGGCTCGGAGATTATTTTCAAAAATGTTGACAACACGCAAAACTCTCGGACTGTGCTTGATTCTGGCACTATCTCTGCTTATCAGCTGGTCGTGTGGAGCATCGCCGCCTACGCCAATAAAATACAATGATATTAATGCGTCATTTTCACAGACGATATCATCTGGAAATGCCACACGGATCTTAATGCCCACGATCCTCGATGTGCCGCGAATATGTCCTCCTGGCTTTATGCTCTATGGTCGACCACAGCGTTGTCGCAAGACAGCCTAGATGTGACAGAATTAGTATTATAATCATGTAAATAAATCAATAAAAAGAAAACAAAAAATAGCCCCATTTATTTGTAAATTATTTGCGAAACCGACAATTGGTCATTTGAAACCCAATTCCAAGCTAAGCCAAAATTCCAGAAATTTGTAGTTGAGTGAGACAAGGCTTTTAAACTTTGATTTCATTATTATTAAATATTGTTCCACTGAATCAATGTATAAATGCGCAGCTCCATAAATGATTCACAAGATTTAACAGATCGCAGCCCTGTAAATTGACTTACAAGCTTTTACTCCACCAATCTCTTCCGCGTTGAGCTTTTGCCGCCGAAATGCGAATTCAGAGCATTCAGTTGACGAAAACATGGAGAGTGGGAAACGTGGTGCGAAGAGTTATATGCACAAGCCAGCTGTTCGCATCGGAATTGTTGTTCTGGTTGTGCACGCTGTCTGCTGGATCGGCTGGAGCGCCATTAGTCCGGGGGTAAACAACAATAATCACGCGGCCAGGGCAAACGCCCAGCACCAACAGGTCCGAGCCGCAATGGAAAGCAACAACTAAATACTCTTTGTGCTTACATATATTACAAGTTAATAAGCTATTCAATTTCATTGATTTATAAATAACGCACTGTTAAACCAAATTATTTTGTAGTAAATGTAAAACTAAGTGACAAAGAAAGTTTGTGAAAATTGTCAGTGAAGAAAAAGCTCTCTGAATCAGTGCGAAAAATCAATCAATCAAAATATAAACAAGTATCTTGCACATTGGTTATTAACCTGGCAAACAATATGTTAAATTTACTTAGTAAATATTCAATATTATAAGAAATAAAGAAATACAAAAAAATGCTTTAGAACAATTCAAAAATGTTAACAAAAGATCTAGGCTAGCATTTGATTGTAGTAATATATTTATGGAATAGAAAAAAAAAAAAATACTAAAATTATGTTTTTAAATGTAAAAAAAAAAATTAAGCCATATAATAAATTTTAAATATTTATATTAATTAGAGGAAAGAACAAAATTTGAAAATTCTTTATTTAATTTGTCCATATACTAAAATTGAAGCAAATAATAATTATAATATGCGAAATAAAATAATGGAATATTCTTAATTATTAGAAATAAAGATAGAATAAAGATGATCTAAAATAAAGAGTAAAGAATAAGTCAATTATTGAACTAATGACTTGGTAGTATTAAGTATTTAACTATTCTCTGTTTTTATTGTTGAATTTTGAGACAATGCCGGTCTCAGATTTCTATATACGCTTGCAAAGCTTTCGTACTCAAAGCTCAGTTGCTTTTAATGCACAAACATCTGCTTAAGCTTTGCTGCTCTTTCAATTGCCAGCAAAAGCTCATTGAGTACTTAATTATTAGTACTACTCAATGTTCAACTTTTGAGATACACGAACATTTGCGAGAGATATTTAGAGGAAAGCTTGGATTATGGCTTGATCGATACTTTGAAGTGTGTCAACAAGCGGAACTTCGTTTAGTTTCACAGGTAACTTTGGACTGGTGTGAACCCCAAGCCTAGAGATAATCTTCAATATGCTGTCAGAGCGTCCACTTGCTGCACTGTGCTTCGGAATGTTACTGTGCTGCCTGCTCAGTCGGCAGAGCGAAGGCTTCCCCCCGAAGGTTGACAATAGAATTCCGATGCCCAAGCCCCAGATGCAGACAGATGATGGGCAGTTGCAGAATACGGATGTGGATTGGAATCCCGTACTGCAGAGTATTTTCACTGTGCCAGAAATTTGTCCGGAGGGCTTTAAGCTAACCAGTGATCGGCAGCGATGCCGAAAAATTGCCTAGAAAAAGGTACTCAGACAATTGCGAGTCTAGAAAAAGGTACTCAGACAATTGCGAGTACCTTTTGCTGTTATCTGACTGCCGGAAATGTGCTTTGTGAATCAAGAACGAATACTAAAATAATAAAAATACTGTGAAATTGCAAAGTGGTTGCCTAATTACTTGGCCGCAGCTGTTGAGCAAAGTTCTATAAAATTCCCGATTACCGATACATATGTATATATATATATATCTGACTATAATTAACGAAGGTAGCCACAATTGATGACGACACGGTGGTTCTACAAGTTTTTATTTATAAAGCTTATGACTAGCATTAAGCTACGTGCTCAAAGTGTTTTACAAGTATTAATACGATATATGTCCACAAATACTTGACTTATCTAAGTAGAAATACGCGCTGCGTCTTAAAGCTACGTCCGAGTGTTTCGAGCTGATTAGATCGGAGCACTTCAGGCGGGCAACCGACAACGTCCGAGATACAATTTAAAACGCGGCGGGCATTTGGACAAGTCGTCCCTGGACCTTACTGGACTCGCTGCGGTCATTGCACTCAGGTATACCAGCAGAATAAGCAGCTGATAAAGATATTTACTAGATATTAGCTTCATCTCGAACAAATATCGGGCACTAGCCAGCGCGACTCGACTGCAGCAACTAAACACGTTGACCAAGTGCGTAACCCCTTTTATATAGACAACAACCAAGCGTTGGTGCTTCACCTCCCAGTTCTGCCGTTACCCAGTCGCCGGAATAGCTGACTTGTTCAGATACCGCTGGGATTACTATCAACAAATTACGTAGCTTGCGCTCTGAGCGCAAGTATTCCCGCCCGGGATGGTCGACACTAACATATCTAGCTTAATAGTCTAATAAAGGGTATATTGACTTTGACACTCTGCTGGTAACGCGTAGCGTAACACATTCCCGGCTACATCAAGTGTATTCATCTATATATCCGTATCTCCGGTCTCACAGTATTGAAGCATATTTAACAAAGTAGTCATTTTTTTAAAAATTGAATATGAAAAACCACTTTTCGAACTCGGATCATTTTTGTTCAGGGCGTGGCTGTTTAGGTCCAGGGTAAAAACTTCTTTACATTAACAAAGATCAAATTTGTATATCTGTAGTGTATCGACTCGTCGGCATTCCGTAAGCTGTTCTAGCTGTTGTTTTATTTATCGGCCCCTTAGGCTGTGATGTCACAGTTCAGGGTACTGTTTTTTTTACTTGTAACGTTGGTTCAATGACGCATTTGATATTGTTTTCAATGGGCAAAAGCTCGTTCAAGCCAAAATGGGTGGTTCAGGATAGATTAAGCAACGGATGTATCGTTTAACGTAAATCAATTGCATGACTTTATCTAGTTCTAATATTGATGTCATTCGAGGAAAACATATTACTTGATGACTTGGCTATGTTCTGTATGTATTAATCTGAATACTCAAATGTGACTCATTCGCTAAAATTGAATAATATATCGGATTTCTTGCTTCAGATATCAGATATTAACAACTGTCTGAATATGCGACTATGAATAATCAATAGAGATTGAATGTGTTAGGCAATTGTTAAAGTCGGCTGTCCATCCCTTTGAGAGCGAAAACATGCGGTGATAATTCACATGGACAATTTATTGACTGAGTTTATATTTATCGATTGTGCAATCAGTCAATTTTAATCAATTTTCACTATCTTGACCCTATCCCACGCAATCTTTGACCCACATTTTATTTAATATTTTGGACGTTCACAGATTGACTGTTCACAGATACAACAAATTGTATTTATTCCATTTTTGTTTATGTGTCTGGTCTGGTTGAGACTCACCCCGATTCCTAAAACCAATGTAGTCTGAGTAGACCCGTTAGCACAGCATAGCCGGTTGCATCCAATAATGATGCATATGGATCCATGCAAAGCAATTGTTGCTCTCGAGCTAGTCGCATACGCGTTTTATAATTTATAGATCAGATTAGGTATCTATAAGGTGTAAAGCATTTATTAAACGAAGCAAATGAATGAACTTTCCCGACCCCAAATATAATACTGAATGGGTTATCAACTGTCACATTTATTTTCGCGGACTAGTTTGTTTTTCAACTCCGTCGCACCTCAGAAAAAATGTGTGTTTTACTGAGTCACACGCTATAACACAAATATATGAATATCCAATTTCATATTTATATATCAGATATGGGTAAATAAATTTAAAGATATACACTTTCTGTTTAATTTCAATTCATTTTGTACGAATCGCTTTCAAATTATTGTTTATTAAATATTTAATACAACATTGTTTCCACCGAGGCAACAGATTGTCAGATTGTTTAGCCGATTGATTAACTAGGTTGCGATGTTTCTATTCAAGCCTTTACTTATTTCTAGGCCTTCTGGCGACAGCGTCCGCCTCTCAACTCTGTTCCTTCGGGGCACTGTGGCATTGTTTCGAATAGGTTGCGCCCTGCAATGGATTCCGGTTGATTAACTTCAGCTTGGGACTTAGGGTTCCTAGATCCGTGCAACCCCTTGTCTTCGGTCAGTGAGGGTGTCATAAAATTATTCGTATTGAAAATGGACGCAATATTGTCGTCCACTGTGCTTTGTGGATTAGTCTCGGCGTCGGACAGGGCACCACCAGATCCGGGTCGAGGCTGTAAGGTGGTGCCAACTGACTGATCTCCGGGATGCTGATCTCCTGCATTAGACCTGTGGGTCGGTTGTGGCTGTTGACCTTGTCCTGGAAGTGGTTGAATGGGATTGAAATTGGCTGCATCGTGAGAGGGCTGGACATTTATGGAATCTATGGGCCGCGGTTGAATTGGCTTGCTAGATTGTCCGTTGTCGGGTTCTGTCACTTCTGGGCGTGGCTGCAAGGGATTTCCAGGGCTGCCAGGTTGTCGGTAGTTGAATTCGGGTTTGTCGTGCGCGCCCTGTTGCGGACGTGGCTGCAAGGGGCTCCCAGCATTACCCGGTTGTTGGTAGTTGAAGTCCAATGTGCCTTGGTCGCCTGTTTGAGGACGTGGCTGAATGGGTTGACCTCTCTGCTCGCTTTCATACTCTGGTTGATTCGGCTCTTGGGGTTGGCCTGGACGCGGCTGGAAATGCCGATTGTTTCCACCGTAACCCGGCCTGGGTTGAGCACCGAAACCAGCGCCTGACTGACCTCCATATCCTGAATCAACTCTTTGACCTTCTCTTCCGTATCCAGCTTCCGGCTGCTGGTAGCCGTAATCAGGTCCAGGTCCAGAACCACCGCCTGGCTGAGCAGCGTAATCTACGCCAGGTCTCGGGTTCCCAAACCCTGCGCCTGGTTGCCCAGCATATCCACCTCTGGGCTGTCCTCCTCCATAGGAGCCTCTTCCAAAGCTGGGACCCTGACCGGGCTCGAACTGCGCAGCACCTGGGTAGCTGGCTGGATATCGATCGTAGTACTGATTGTGGTTATGTCCGTGCCCATGTCCATGTCCATGATGGTGCCTGTGTTCGTGTTGCCCATAAGGTCTACTGGAATGCAGAATTAGTTAAAGCAGTAAAATTGTAACTATTTCAGTTGGTTCACGCACCTTTGAGGCTGTGAATAGCCCCAGCCGTCCCCATTATGCGACTGATCCCCATGTAATCGATGTTCTGGCTGGGCCTGCATTAGCTGCGCATTAAGCAGGGCTATCAGCAACAGCCCCAGCGATAAGAGTCCGAGCTTAGGAATCATCTCTACGTCCAAGTTGCAGTCGAGCTTCTGGTGCTGTCGCGTGCTAAATTGAGACTGAGACCATCTCGTAGACATTTTGAATAAGTACCTAGAATATTGCTTTTAATTGAGTTAAAATCTGACGTGATAAGCCCGTTGGAACAGCTCTTATACGAATTAGAGAATTGGCTTCTCATTAATAAGAGCTCATAAATAGTATTTATGACAAGTTTACATTGTAAATGAATGAACTGCGAAAACAAATGTTTTTCTGTCTACAAATAATACAAGTTAGTGAAAAGATGCACAGGACCGTGTAATTTTCTATTATATTGACTGATGACTCGCAAACTATTTTAATTTTATGTGTGAGACTTTGTTTGCGCTCGGCTTTCACAGTTTCATAGACACATTTTGCTAGTTTCTCTGGCCAAAAGTCTTGCCCCCACTGCCTCTCGAATTTTGTTTGCAAAAATGACTGAAACTCGGAAAAGATAATTATTAAACTAAAATTTGCGGGGATTTTTTTTTTCATACACTTGCTGTGGGCATTTCAACTTGGCCAATAGCACATTGTAGAAATGATATGTCATTTATGCTAGATGAGTTATCTAGATAACTTTGTTTCAATTCTACAATATTAGAAGTCCGCTGTGTTTTGTTTTCAATCAAATTTAATATCTTATTTTACATGTTGTAATACATTTATGAACTGACTAAAATATTTTAAATACAATAATCTATGCTAATACTTATGGGATTGCCTGAACCTTTTAATGGAAATTTTTACTTTAAAGTAGCGAAATATGTTTTATATTTACATGCACATAATTTCTAGATAGTGCTTGAGAATTAACATTAAATATTTAACTCAACTATTGGTTTAAAAACAAAAATATTTAATACTCAATCAGCTGCTCGTATAAGGAAAGTATCTTAAAAGTAAGTATGTTAAATAGTCGGTCTGGGAAAACCGCCCTTGTTTTGGTAATTAAAAAACTCAAACTGAAAACAACAGATACGAAGTAATTAAACTTCACACACAGACTCACTATAAGATTATATACACATATGTATGTATATTATTATTTTTTATTTTTTAAAGTGTTTTATTCGTTTTAAGCAGATTTGCGACAACGTCCCGCTCGCAGACTCTGGCCTGGTGGACACACTGGCAAAGTGTCCACCAGAATGCGATTGTCCAGCGAGGGCAGCTCCGTTGTGCTTGCGCTGCTGTTCGACAGATGCAGCTCCTCCAAAGTGCCGTTGCCCAAGGGTAACCCCGTGGTGCTGGTGATATTGCTGCTGCTGAGGTTGGCGATGCTTAATTCAATGTTGTTGCTGCTGCTGATGTTGCTAATGTTGGTGGTGCTAATGATGCTGCTGCTGATGTTGGTGTTGCTCAAATTAATGTTGCTGCTGCTGTTGTTGCTGTTGATGCTGATGCTGATGTTGGTGTTGTTGCTGTTGCTGTCTGTGTTGCTGCTGTTGCTGCTAATGTTGCTGATGTTGCTGCTGCTCAGGTTATAGAGTGTTGGTTCAATGTTGTCATCTGGAAATACTATGCGATCGTCGCACAGACGCAGCTCCATGCCGCAGATTTGCCAGGCCACAATGGCCAAGAGTAGTGTGTGAACGGCTTTCAAGTGCATTGTTTAATTGTTTATCGGCTGTGGCCGCTGGGAGAGCGATCGTAAGAAGAAGAAAAAAACGCGTTTGGCTGCTTCCACGGAGCTTTCGAGACTGACACACGAAACGTTGATGAAGATCTCCCGAAAGACTGTGGGAGAAATAAAAAAAGGCCGCAAAGACAGACAATTGCGATAAGAATCGATTGTCATTAGCTTGTGTAGCAAATAATACAATGCAGAGAGAAAAAAACAACAACAAAGATACTCAAAAAAAAAAAAAAAAAAAAAAAAAAATAACAGAATAAAACACGAAGCTGGCTCGCTTCACTATTTCAAACTGGAAACTGGAAGCGAAAGCTCTTTTTCAAGCGGCCCGTGTTACTCATTGAAGTGTAAACAAGAGTCTAGTTGTTAAAGCTCTACAGTGCGCACTGTTTGTTTACGTACAGCCCCAAAAATTGAATCTCCCATCAAAAGTCGAGCCTGTCGCATGCGTGTTTTTTTCGTTTATTGACGGCTTTTTAAGCCTCCTTGCGACAATGAGCTCCAAATAGTTTAAAGCCATCCCCACAGACAGGCAGCGTGTCGAGCGTGATGCGCGGTCCAATTTCGGCAATCTTTGGATCTTTTTTCAAGAGATCGTCTGTTTCTGGGCGCTCTTTCATCTTCTCCCTGGTTTGTTCAGTTGTTTCTTCTTTCTCTTTAATTTCGGTCGGTGCAGTGGAATTCTCATTTATCTCATTGGAGGGCTTCTCAATGGGTCGCTCACTCGATCTCTCACTTATAGGCTTTTGACTTGTCCCATTCCTTAGCGGTGTAGAGCCTTCCGCTGGACTCAACTTCTCGCTCTGATTGCGATTCTCCATTGTTAACTGTTGGGCATCTGCTGCATGTGAAGTGTAAATATCGTGCAGCTGGTGTGGTAACGAGATGTGCACCAACAGCAGCAATGTGTACAGTACCAAGGGCAATACGGGCATCAATTTAATTGCCATCACGTTAAAACACGTTTACTCTACCCGAATTCGCATTCAAGACTAACAACTGAGAGAGAGAGAGAGAGCTTCAAGACTTCAAGACAAGTCCGGAGCTGCCCAGTTGCATAGTCGTCGATAGTCGCCAGTTATTTTGTCAGCTGTCTCTGGCGATAAGGAAATATATGAAACACAAACTTGTATAATTGCATGCATAATGAGAGTGCCCGATGATTGTCTCACTCGCTTGAGAATCTGAAAACTACACGCGTCATTTGAATAGATATCAATTCATTTCAATTAGTCAGGTTTGGCATTAACAGAACACAAATCTTCGAAAGATAAAAAAAAAATGTTATACTAATAATGCTTTTTATAATATATATTGACATTATTATGGAGCTTCGAGTCGTAAAGGCGACGAAATTAATAGGATGCGGGCTCGAGTCGAGAGTAACTAAAAGTTGTATGTATAGCAATATTAATGGTAATAGTAATAATAATAATAATAATAATAATAATAATAGTAATAATAATAATAATAATAGTAATAATAATAATAATAATAATAATAATAATAATAATAATAATAATAATAATAATAATAATAATAATAATTTTAATAATAATTCTTTCCCAATCCTCCCATATTATAGCTGGGGCCTGCCGGAATAGAGTTGAGCCTCTTCTGAGCAACATTTATTGGCTTTCTCGGGAAACCTCTTAAGAGAGTTGGGTTTGGCACATTCAGTGGATTAGTTGAAAGCTGATCTATTAAGGACTTGGATAGGCATAAATCGAATGTTTTCATAGACTTGATAAAATATAGGACGAATATGTGATTCTTATTTTAAAAATTAGTCAGTCGCTGTAAATAGTTCTTGTGAGGGTTTTTTTTCAACTCTATATAGCTATTCAAGAAACTGTCTGATTTTATGGTGTTTCAGTGTTTCTGATTTACCTGAATGCCAATATAATCCTTTAAATTCGTTTAACTATTTTGTATTCGTAATTGTTAATTAGTGCTGCAGCTGATTACTCAGCTATTACATATGCGATATCAATTGAAGCTTTACAGCTAAAATGTGGTAAAAGCATAGATTAGTAAGCAGAAATGTGTTTAGCTAATATTGTATTATACCCTTACACATTGAAAATAAGTAAACGCGTATCTGACGGGCAGCAAACCCGTCTATAAAAATAGGTCGATCTCGGAAACTATAGGTGATACGAATTTGAAACTTATTATTTAGTTTTTGTTATCTCCTTTTTAGCGTGTATACTGTCATTATGAAACTGATGGCAAGCGTTTGCATTACCCATTTGTAGAATAATCGGAAATATCACGAACAATACACTTTATATATAATAAAGTGTTTTTGTTATTTGCTATAAATAGTCCCATGTCCCCAAATAAAGTGTGTAGCACAGCGGCTTTAAAGTTGAGGCATAACCCATCAACAAGTACCGTTGATGCAAGTATATTTGTTAAGGATTACATATGCTTTTGGTAAACTATATTTGACAGAATCTGAGGTGACTACGGGAATACGCTTCGATGGCTGTACTTTTCACAATCAGAGACGGCTTTCTCACAGCGAAGTTATCTGCTGAGAACATCTCTAGAAGAAGGCAGTTTAATTATAAGACTGTGCATAAACTTGAGAATGTGGTGCTGGATCCTTTGCAGTAGGCGGCGCTGCGGCTTTTGCAGCGGGTGGTGCTGGATCATTTGCAGTAGGCGGCGCTGCGGCCTTTGCAGCGGGTGGTGCTGGATCATTTGCAGAAGGTTGTGCAGCGGGTGGTGCTGGATCATATGAAATTAGTTGCGCTTGATCATATGCAGCTTGTTGCAATGGATCATCTGCAGCATTTTGTGCTGGATCCTTTGCAGTAGGAGGCGCTGCAGCTTTTGCAGCGGGTGGTGCTGGATCATTCGCAGAAGGTGGCTCAATGGGTGGTGCTGGATCATTTGCAGAAGGTTGCGCAGCGGGTGGTGCTGGATCATTTGCATATGCTGATTGACCAGCATACCCAGCATATGCTGAGGCCGCCACTCCAAGAACGATCAAGAAAATCAGTGTGGGCTTCATATTTCACCTTTTAGTTCTTTTCTAACTATGAAAGATTTGAAGCGGGGCTCCGCTTTTATAGCTGATATTCTGGCGTGTTTCTAATTTAATTTGAAATGGTTATATAATGATTCCCCTCTGTTTTGTCAATCTATTAAATGTTTCGCTATAGTTTTAATTTCATTTGTTAATAAGTGATGCCATATGATTAGCTGCAAATGTTAGAATGTTGTGTAATACTAAAAAGAACGTGATCTTCATGGAAACTATCATTTATCCACATAGATACTAACTTAAGCATTCGCGCAATTTATCTATTTCATGTTTAGTCATAGTCCCAAGTTGAGGAAAAATGAGTCCCTTTTAGTGCATTTTTTATGGAGTAACCTGAGCCACTCTTAACAAATGTCAGCCATTTAGGCTAATAATTTTGACAATTCTATTGTCAGTCCCCTGTACCCAAATGGCAGCTAGCCACCCTCGGTTCTTAACACGAACATCGCAGCCTCATAAGTAGCAGCAAAATAATTTTCGCAGAGAGGCAAAAAAATATGCGGAGCATAAAAATGTCATTTTAAATGGAATAATTTTTGAAGGCCTGGCAACCCAGGGTTAAATGCTGAGAAAACCTTTTTGGCCGCGCCCATTGTAGCAAGTTTATAAAAATACATTAAAATAATGTGTCTTTGGCACTCCGACAGCTGATGCAAGACACCAGCTAAGGGAGGCTCTGCCCGACTTCAGGGTCGTATAGTCATTTATTTATGACAACCTCCAAAACAAAATAAGAGGCCCGCTAAATGTATGCAAAATATGTATATGAATGCGTACATATCCTGTGCAAAATAAATTGTGAAAGTCAATAGAAAGCATATTTTATGAGAATATGAGCTACGTTTTAGCAGGTGATTGCTGCAGCTACGCAGGTTGGCTGCTGCTGAGAGGAAGGAGTTGGTGCCTTTTGTCTCTGGATGCGGACAATGGATGCGTTTGTTAATCAGCGGCATTCTGCCAAAGTAATCTGTAAATATTTGTTATTACTGGGCATTTCCGGTAGCATTTGTTGCGGGTTTTTCTTCATTTTCATAAAAGCAAAGTTTAATTTCGCTGCTTTGCTTTTGGCACTGATTGTGTCCATGTCATGTACAGGGCCACAAAAGTTGGACTTGATTTCTGTGTTTATTTCACTTGATGTTTGTTGATGTTCGAGTATACTTGCAGTTGTAGTTCTGGTAAAAACCTAATCTTAAGTAAGCTGGTATTTACAGTTCTGATGTTTCAATTCAACTCCGAAATATATGTTGCACACACAATTTTTTACCGTGTATTTCCATGAAATTTTTGTACATTATTTGAACAGCTCAAATTTAAATATCTCAAGTGTACAAGTGCGACTGAGTTTATCTTTGATCTATTTTGAAGCAAAATAACCTTGAACAGCCACAATTATTCATTGTCTGAAGAGCTCTTAGCTGGGTGCCTTAAAAGGCCGCAACTGCTTTCGAAATTGGCCATCATTTCGGAACAAAAATTTGGTAAAAAGTAAAATATTCCATTGACATAGACTCAGTTTAGTTTGAACAGTTACCAGAAAAGTTTGCTAGATTTAAAGTAATATTAAAGTAAAGTCGATGCTAAAATGTTGCAAGGATTTTTTTGTGGTGTCATATACTTGTTTTTATTGCTGACATTTTACCAACACTTTGCCGCCTCGGATAGTGAAATTGTTGAAGCTGAAACCACAAATCCCAGTTTGAGTGCAACCAGCCGTATGCCGGTGCCGGTGCTGGAATCACCAAAGTGGAGCCCCAACGCCCCAACTGTCCTGGTGAAGCCCTACAATATACTGGAAGCCAGCTGCCCACAGGGCTATATACTGGCCAATAAACATTGTCACAAGCGCGTGAGAGATGCCGCAACTATGCAGAAGAATAAGCTGGAATTCAAATATTAATATATAATATTCATTGAATTAATTTTTATGAATTATATTGTTATTGTTATACAAAAATGTTGAATCTAAAAATGCTTAAGACTCTATTAACGCGAAATCTTGGAGTGGCTTAATACGCAAAAACAAAAAAAAAAAAACAAACAAAAAAAAAGTTACATGTTCTTATACGATAATTACATTTTTAAAATTTTAGCCAAGTCATTTTGCCCCTGACTGTTTGCTAAATAGGTCAAGTTTAAAAACCTTTCCTCCTTTATTTATATTCAGCTATTGTTTTAGCCATATTTTTGCTGTTTTGTGAGTCTAATTTGAAGTGAGAATAAGATACCTGGCAGAATCCTAGAATCCCATTTTCAATATATAATCATCGATATAACCCACTGTTCTAGCCACATGAAGCACTGTTGATGCCTTAATTTATGTTGGATGTGGACATAGATAATTTTTGACCGCAATCGCCCGACCATGCCACAAGGCCCATTCGAGTGATATGCAGACAGTGCCTGCCATTAGTTAGAGGCCCATTAACCAAAAATGCAACCATCACGACGGCCGCCCAGGCGGACACATGTCCAAGCAACGTGCCGATACGTGCAGGTGCCTTGTCCACGTTCCCGTCATTTACAGGTAGCAGCTGCATTGACAGCAGCCGAGGCACCACTTGGCCCGCTTGGCGGGTTGTGTGTGGCGTATTAATTCATGTCATAAAATATAGCTACACACTTTAGGCCCGGCACCAGCGAAATTGACAAAGTCTCGACGTGTACGTGGCTGGGCGAAGGGGCAAAGGGGCTGCCTTGGAGTTGGAGAACGCTGCGCTGAATGAGTTAATTAAGCGCCTCACGGCCGGGAGCATAATTTCAAGTCATTTATCAGTGACGTTTTCGGACTAAGGACACGGCCGGCAAATGTAAATTGGCTTAGATCATGGGAGTAACAAGGGCCAAATGGCCAAATGGCCAAATGGCAGCGGCCAGACAAAACATGGTAGCTTCATTATATCGTGCTGTGTTTATTGGGTGTGCAACATTTACATATCCTGGCCCAATGGATTACCCAACCAAGGATAGACAATTGGGCACTTGTCGCAGACGCTCATGTAGCGCGTCTCGCCCGTGGACACCTTCTGGACATTGCAGTGCACCGGCTGGCAACTGGTGTTTGGCTTCTCCTCGCAGCTCTTGAAGGGCTGACCCAGCACCGGCTTTTTCACATACTCCAACATGCGCGATACGCCCGTCATGTACACATCCGGATAGGTTGACAAATGATGCATGAATCTGTGTAGAATTGGATTAAATACAAATAAAGAAATGCGTTTCGATTGTGCCTCTTCACGTACTTCTTGAAGGCAGCAAAGTAGTTGCGGCCCCGTGCAAACCAAGCTGCGTGCAGATACATGCCGAATGGCGCCCGGTTGCCCTTGTAGTGACGATTAAAGTTCTCCAGCATCCACTCGAACAATGCATCCACATCGTCTGCGGGCGGATAGGCGCAGGCATCGATCATGGAGCAGCTGTAGCCCTCAGTGTCCGTCCATGTAACCATGGGATTCACCCAAACGCCGGGCAGCGCAGCATCCGGACATGGACCGATCTGACAGTCTTGTATGGACAGGTAGTCCAAGGTGTAGGGCCACATAGCCGGTTCCTTGTGCTGTTGCGTCGGCCAGGAGCTGTCATAGGTCAGACCCAGGTTCTTGACTGCCTCAAAGGAGTTGTTACCGGAAATCTGCAGGAAGGGCAGCCGGATGCCCTGTACACGCTTCGCATTCACCTTTGCAAACGTCTCCAGCATCTGCAGCTGGGCTCCGAACTCACGTTCAATAGTCTCAACATCCGCTTCGCGCCAATAATCGGTGCCGTCGCCATGGGTCACCGAGTGCAGGGCAATCTCGTGACCCGCATTGTACAATGCATTCACTCGCACGTAATCCGTGTACTCGTGCGATAGGAAGAAGGTGCCCGTTGCCGCGCAGCCATCAGGATTGCTCAGACCATCGAAGAGTAGCTCATATTGGGCATAGTTCACAGCATTCACGGCATCATCAAAGGTGATTGTAACGAACTGAAAGTTTAAAAGGTCCATTAATATGAAGAAAGTGTAAATAAAATAAATACAACAATTTTATTTGTTTCACAACTTGGAGATGGATTAACTTTTAACCAACTTTCGAGTAAAGCACTGGAACTAATACTGCAAATTAATAATTATCTTATATTAATTATAATAAATAAATGAAATTAAAAATAATAATAATAATGATAATTATATTTTAAGCCTAGCTTATATCCGGTTAAAGCCAAAATAACATATATAAACTTACCTGTGGTATCTCATGCTCCTTGCCCTTGAATTTAGGTCTTGGCAATATCGCATCCGAACAACGGCATTCGGGTAACTTGCATTTGGCCGCCGAGCAGGGCTCAGCCCTTAAAAGCGCCTGCCTCTCCAGCTGTGGGGGTACAGTTGTCTTCTCCTTGTTCTTAGACTTGGACTTGTTCTTCGTCTTGCCAGCCTGCTTCTGGGCCTCGCTGAGCAGAGCTGCGGCCAGCAGCAGCCCGATCAGTAATAGGGTCGCGTATTTCATGCCGGGTAAACGCTTCCAACGTCTTCCAACTGATTCACAGAACTTGGGCTGTGTACTCCGGCTTTTATAACATGCTGTATGGAAGATAATATCTTATCGAGATATGGGTGAAAATATGATTTGCTTGTTGAACATGGCTGAGGCTTTTACCAATAGGTGTGCCTATGTAATGAAGTACATACATAGGTAGGTTTTGGTTATTTCGGAAATGTTTCGCATATGGCGTGTGTAAAGACTTATTAAAAATATATCGACCGAAGTAAACAACTCTTGACAATAGAAGAATAGCTAAACTTTCCATTTTGATTGCGCATAATTATTAACAAGGCACAAATGTTCGTTTTCACCTTTCAAGAAGAGCTGGCAGTAGATCCTTATCTCATATTTGAGTATTTTAGTTTTCAAATTGTTGTTCATTCATGAAAGTTTATTATTTAAAAGTGGATTTCATATGGCAAACTAAATAAAATCTCATTCATATGCTAGAAGCCTATTGCATAGGTTCAAACAATTAATTATTCCATAGGGAAATTTTTATTTAGAGTTACCTAAAATTTAAAGAAGCTCAAGTCATGTTGTTTGAGTGTACTTAAGGACTTGCTGTACAAGAACACCATGCTCCAACTACATACAAGCTGATAATTTTTGGAATCGTTTTTGCGCATTGGACCTGTGCGAACAAGGACAAAAGTTGCCTCATTAGCATAACCAAAGTGAAGAACTTAACAGCTGAGATTTGCGTCAGTGGCTTGAGTGGAAAACTTTTGGCTGCCGCAGGGAGCGGTAGGAGCAAATCGAAGCAATTGCAGGCTCGAAATTATGACGGGCCCAACAAATGCACTTGAAATCGTAAGCAAGTGCTTCAAACTTTTGTGGCACGACAGAAGCTCTTAAAACAAAGCCAGAAATGGCTATGAAGTGCTACCCAGCCAGGAAACTCAGGGCCGCCCGCTCGCATTCTGCACCCAGGTTGTCCCTAAGCGACGGCCAATCAGATTGCAAAATCCGAACAGGCAAATGTCAATAGACAAAACGACTGAAATTGACGGAATTCATCTTAAACGCAACTGCAGCTGGGCCGCTGGGTGAACTGCAGCAGCAGCAGGAGCGGCAGTTACTGCAGCAATGCGGATTTCTTGGCATGCTTCCGCCGACTGACATGGTGCACGCCTACAATTCATTTTGGTCACGTTCCGGGGCGTTGCCGGCAGGGGTAGGTGCCCCACGTATTACAAAGCCCAGCCAACCAACAGGCGGCAAACGTCAGGCCGACAGCAGAACCAAAAGCCGAGAACTTAAACGAAAAACTCTCGGCTCCAAGCGGAAGTGAGCGACAGCCAACGCCAACTCCAACTGCAAAACCACCCACCCACCACCCAGCACCGCTCGCAGTTCGTTGTTGGAGTTGTAGGGGCAACGGCAACGCAACATGTTTGAGTGAGTTTGAAGCCTGCGCCCATGTGACGTATGCGCAATGTGTCAAATGTGGCCCCTACCCGCTGGAGCGCCCTTCGACAAGCACTCATAATAATCAAGATTGAAGGCAGCTTGAGACCCAAAGAGTTGATTGAAATTTGATTGACAGCCCGCATGAATGAAGATGAATCTTTGCAACTCATAACTGAATGCGGCTGCAACTTTTCTGCAATGTTTTCTGTTTACAATTCTCTTTTTCTCTCTCTGTCTCTCTCTCTCTCTCTCTCTCTCTCTCTCTCTCTCTCTCTCTTTGTGTCTGTGTGTCTCATTAGTTGCTGGCGCGTTAGTGCGTGAAATCAAAGTGAAAATTGAGGCGCACGATGCACGGGGCACACACAAGCGTCTCACGTGGCACAAACTGCTTTAAAATGCAAATTTTACCACTAATACGAATGTAGCTCATATGCGTGCCAAAGATCTAACACGGGGCAGCTCACGCACGTCTGAGCCGCACCACAACAAAAACTAGAAAGTGGTTGGGCCATTGAGGATGGCAGCGGCTATGGGAATTGAAGGTTGCGGAGTTGGTTGGTGTTTCTTGCTCTCGAGTTTGCCAATTTGCGCGATAATCACACAGCTAATTTGCATAGCGAGTGAAATGAAAGCGGGGCACAAAATCTACGATAATCAAATCAACCAGACCATATATGTGTATATACAAATATATTTGGAGTGCTCTTGAGCTGAAGTCCTGTAGACTTTGGCCTGCCTGTGCCTTGACTTGCAAATACAATTTTAAGAAATTATATTAATGTTAAGCTATATCCTATTGAAAATTCGTCATGACTTTAGGCATAGTGTTGTAAAACACTGGTGAATAACTGAAAGTGCTACCAGGCTAAAGTACATATTTTTGTATTGTGCAATCGGTCACACAAGGCTAATAAGACATGTTCGCTCTTTAATCAACACACACTCGGCATTTAACTGATGATATATATTTCAATTCGTATGCTTTGACTGAAAATAGGTAAAATTCCTAAAAAAAAACGACATTTCTGAATTATCTGAATACGGATACGGCAGAGCAGAGCTGAATTTAGGCAAATATTACACATTAATGCATCATTTGATTTCACTTATGCATTAGATTAGGATTTGCAGCCTGCAAATTAGAATTATTACCAGATAACATTATTAACAAATGTAAAAATCCAACGGCATGACGAATGATCTAAAGTTGGAAACAACTGCATGGCTGAATATTAGATATGTTTTGCCAATTCCATTTGCCACACTTTGGAATATCAGCTATAAAAGATGAGCTTCGTTGGGAATCCTTCACAGTTTGAAACCAAATTCAAAGCATTAACATGAAACTCTCACTGATTTGCCTGATCGTACTTGGAGTGGCGCTCTCAGCTGACGCTTATGCTGCAGCACCAGCTAAGGGATCTACTGACAAGCCAGCAGCCTAATTCCGTTTCCAAGGGAACGCCACAGATTGAAGAAAGTGCAGCTATCTCGGCATGCTTTCATCAATCAGATATGTCTTATATGTAGTCACAAAATAAATTAAAAAACTTAAAAAATATGCATTCAAAATGTCTTTGATGGTCAAGACCTGCCCCATTGATATAAAATTTGCGTAAAACAAAATATTTAAAAGATTTATGAGAATTTTGAAGAGCTGATATTGGTTGAATTCTTAAAAATTCGATAGATAGATTAGATAGTTTGCTTGGCAAAATCGAAGGTATACAAAATGGGCATGGTAATTCGAAATGCAGATATACCATAATTTTTTTCGAACAAAGTTGCTTAGTCTTATCCTTAGCTATTTTTTTTTGTGCAAATTTGAACTTGGGAAGTATTTTCTGCCTGTTAGCGTTTTCCCCTAGCCTAGCTTCAAATTTCAAACAAGTTCCGGGGGAAAACTAAAAGAAAACCGAAAAAATTGTTCAACATTTTTCACAACTAAATAAAAGGAAATCATCACAAAATGTCTGAGTGCGAGGAAGCGGAGCGCAAAGACATACTCTAGAGCATTGCCAGATTGAATAAGAATCTGCAGAGTAACGAGGTGTTAACGCTGCACTACCTGGGACTGCCATATTTGTAGATAGAGTAAAGAGATAGTATTGGGAAATCACCGACTCGATGGGGACAAATTTATAGCCTGATCGGCAAGCTATGCCCCTACTTATAGCTGGAAATGGTCAGTGAGTTCCCGTAGGAATCCTGAAAGCAACGATTTTATTTGGGGTAGAGAAAGTTCGGCGGAGAAAACGAAGTACAAACTATTGTAATGTTTACATAACGCGCGAAAAGAATTGTACATAGCGTAATCGGTTGTGCACGTTGGTAGGAATAAGGGTGATAATTCCTGGTAGTTGGTTTCACTTATGCAATTGAGGATTTGTAGCATGCAAATTAGTATTATTACCAGGTTACATTATTAACAAATGTAAAAATCCAACGGCATGACGAATGATCTAAAGTTGGAAACAACTGCATGGCTGAATATTAAATATGTTTTGCCAATTCCATTTGCCACACTTTGGAATATCAGCTATAAAAGCTGAGCTTCGCTGGGAATCCTTCACAGTTTGAAACCAAATTCAAAGCTTTAACATGAAGCTCTCACTGATTTGCCTTATCGTACTTGGAGTGGCGCTCTCAGCTGACGCTTATGCTGCAGCACCAGCTAAGGGATCTACTGACAAGCCAGCAGCCTAATTCCGTTTCCAAGGGAACGCCACAGGTTGAAGAAAGTGCAGCTATCTCGACATGCTTTCATCAATTAGATGTGTCTTATATGTAGTCTCAAAATAAATTAAAAAAACTTAAAAAATTTGCATTCAAATTGTCTTTGATGGTCAAGACCTGCCCCATTTATATAAAATTTGCTCAAAACAAAATATGTGTTTGCAAGATTTTGTAGAACTTTGAAGAGCTGATATCGATTGAGATAGATATCGAATCTTTAAAACTTAGGCAGGGTATTCGAAGTGCAGATATACCATAATTTTTTCGAACAAAGTTGCTTAGTTTTATGCTTAGCTATTTTTTTTGGTGCAAATTTGAACTTGTGAAGTGTTTTCTGGCTGCTAGCGGTTTTCCCCTAGCCTAGCTTCAAATTTCAAACAAGTTCCGGGGAAAAAAAATTTAGAAAAAAAATAGAAAAAATACAAAATTGTTCAAAAATAAATAAAAAGAAATCAGCACAAAATGTCTGAGTGCGAGGAAGCGGAGCACAAAGACAAACTCGAGAGCGTTGCCAAATTTAATCAGAATCTGCAGAGTAACGAGGTGTTAACGCTGCACTACCTGGGACTGCCATATTTGGTGCTGAGCCGCAGCCCGCAGCTGCGCCTCAAGGTGCCGCTGAGCACCTGCAATTACTTGGATGGTGAAACCGAGGGCATTGCGCTGCAGCTGATCTTCACCTGTCCGGCCAATTATCCACTCCAGTTGCCAATCGTTGAGATGGTCGAGAAGCGCAATGTTAGCCGGGAGCTGGATAAAAAACTGCGCGAGGAGATCGCCGTGGCGCTGGAACAGCACCTGGGTCTGTACATGATTGTGCCGGTGGTGACACGGGTGCAGATGCTGCTGAACAACGAATTGAGGCACCATTAAAGCAGCGCTCGGATTTGCTTCCTTCTTTCCATTGGGCGGGGCTCGTAAATGTTGAGTGTCTTTTGCTGTCCCAACTGTAACTGTTGCCGGCAATAGGTGTGTGTGCGTGGTATGCGTGGTTGGGTCCTTGTTGTCTGTTGTCTGGGCATCAACTTGCATGTACGTGCACAAACATGTTTGCCGTGGAATGCTGTGCCAGGGCCAGGGCCCGTATCTCACGCAGGCTACGTGACTTCTCTGCCATTGGCAGAGCGCCACTTGGCCGGCGCCCTGAAGTATGCAACACTTGGCCAAATGTTAACACGTGCCGTTCGACAGACGCGCCAGGACGACTGATCATTAATTGGCGGCCCTGTGCAGGCATTGGGCATTGCATTAACTTATCTTTTATGCGCATGCTAAGGCACTTGCCATAGTTATCTAAGCGAAGGCTTTAACTGTGTTTAGTCCTAAGCACATGCACACACATTCTTGATACACTTCCTTCCGCTGGCGCCGCGACAGCAGTGCCAATGAAATTGCTAGTCAAAAAATGGCAAAGACATTCGCAGCAGATGCAGCAGCAGCAGTAGCTTCCTTGGGCGCATCCTGTTTATCCTTAAGCGTGCTGCATCGTTGGCGGCGGCGTCAAAGTCCTTTTGCAACCCAATGCCGGATGTCTCTGGGTAATTTAGATAGCTGCAGTTGTTGCTCACAACTTGCATAATGTCACTTTCAAAGAGTTTTTAGGGCCAAATTGCAAAAAACGAGCAACTCACACAGGACATGCATGCACAAGCATAAGGACGAGTGTGCTCAGCTTAAAGTCAATAGACATTTCGATAAGAAAACGGTAAAGGATAGATACTTATGCTCCAAGTAGGCAATAAACTCGCTATGCTCTTCTCTATCAATTTAACAAGCAAATAACCGAAAGGGTTTTGAATGCCTTGAAAAAAGTTGGATTATACCTTTTTTTTGCTGAAGATTTTAATTTATGTAGGAATTGGCGTATCTCAATAAAAACATTTTATTGGAAGTAACCTAGCAAGTTGTGGGGTCTAAGATTTTAAGCATTAATATAAATTATTATTTAAAATCGAAAGGGATTAAATTGAAAATGAATATAACTAATTGTATATGATGAAGACATAAGAATTAAATCCACAAATACAAACACAGTTCTAGAAATACATAAATCTAGTTGCGATTACAGGCTTTGTTCTGGTTCTGCAGCTCAGGGATAATGTGCTAGTAAACTTGCAGGCACGCCTGAATAAAATATATGTTTAATTCCTATACGTATAAATAGTTTTGCAGCTTCGATCTCATATACTGTCAGCTCTCTCTTTTGATATAGAATGTTTTACATTTATTCCTCCATACACTTTTTTTGGTTTACCTAACAGCTGGAGCAATTTCTTTATTTTTTGGCAACTTGTAAGTCAACCGCAAACATTTCGGGATATTTCAATGGCATTCAATCTTTAATGCGGTTGTGACGACATTGGCGACTGTATGCCCGAAGGATTTGTGCGTAATGAAAAACTGTCACGGCGCAGGACGGTGGAAGGTGGTGGC